CAGTGAGGCCGAAAGGCAGCTTTGCACACCAGAAATAGCCCTTCCCTTCCACGTAGAACGCTGTGTATGGTCGGGACCCCCGTTCAACTTCGCAAGCATAAAATCCGGAAGCAAAGTCGAACAGGCATATATAATTGTGGCCACTGAGTGACTGCTGTTTGGATCGGATGTTACCTTGCGGCATTGGGGCGATCTCGGTGAGTTTGTTGATTGCCATGAAGTTCTGACATATTCTCCATTTGGCAGGTCTGGCTAACTCAGCACGTTCCGGCGGACCCGAGGGCTGTACCTGACGAGTGGGAAGATCGAATGATGCGGGAAGCCCCGCAGCCACGCACTCATCGTTGAGTTTGTACTTTAACTCTTCCACGGTCAACCCTCTCCCTTCATGTACCTTCTGTGCCAGAGTCAGTGGTGACACGCACTTCACATCCTCCGGATTACAACGTTCAATTACTCCTGCCTCAAGTAGCTCATCGACTTTTGCGTGCAGGTACTCGCGTTGCGGCGGTGTCAACAATTTTTGCCTGACCTTCTTAGGGAAGGTCGCACCCTCCGGTATGTTCAACCTGTGGATTGCGTCTTTGACAGGTCTCACCTCACCTACGGATAGGGCAAAACAATCCGCATATTCACTCAGAAGCCGCTCGACCCTTGTTCGCTGTTCGCCTGAAAGCCCTGGTCCAATTTTCACTTTGCGAAGGATTTCCCGCACACGCTCCGGCCGAAATGCCCCCTGCTCTCCATCGTTGCGTGTGAACAGATTGACATCATCGACTTGGTCCAGCGCATCAGGGAAGAAGTCCGGCCCTAGGGTGTCTGGGTCCGTGAAGTGCTCCGCCTGGAGTGCCTGAACAGGAACTATACTTTCATGGTCAGCATGTTGCGGGTTAACAAGCCGAATGTCGTTAGAGACTCCCCTCGAGGGGGGTATGTCCAATCCCCCCACTGAGTCCGCCCACAGGCCTACTGGCAACGCATCGATCTTCTTGTCCTCTGAACTCCTTCCAACCATCCCTGACTGCACCTGTACATTCTCCAATGCCCCCTCCGTGGCTGGACATGCCATCAATTGGGCTGGCGCATCTGTGATGACAGGGTCAATATTGTGCGGGTCTGCAGGTTCGTGCTTTGCTGGTACTTCCCTCGAGGGGGGTGCGCTACTTCCCCCCGGTGAATCCACGCTCAACCTTTTCGGCGGGTTTGGTTCTTTCAAGCGGTTCCTCCAGAAGAACCACTTGCGGAGACCCGGTTCCGCACGTTGTTTCCTCAGCCAAGCCTTCCATTCATGCTCCCGTTGCGCCTCCTCGTCCTCCCAAGCTGCTCGACGTTCCTCCTGTCGACGCTCGAGCTCCTCTTGTAGCTTAATGGTTTCAGCCCTTCTCAACCGCCGCTCTTCTCTAAACCACTCATCTAGCTCGCTTTCCGTCACTGGAAAAAACGACTCCTGGGCATTCCGCCACTCCTCAGGTTGCAGGTTCTCGGGTTCCTCGTCTGGTACCTCGACAACTTGCGGTTTTCGGTGTCGTTGCTTGGGGGAGATTCTAGGCGTGTGCTGGGAAGTGACATTAGTAATGTTTTCCTGGGGAGCACGAGTTAGGTCGTCTACTTCCCTGTTCAGCGGGGTTACGGCCTTCACGATAACCCCGCCCAACGGTCCCTCGCTTTCTTCGAGAACAATGTGCTCTTGGGCAACTGAACTCGGTACTTCCTGCTGGCCTCTCTCCTCCAGCACGGTTGTGGGGTCCGGAGTCAACGAAACCCCCAGTCCCTTGTTGAATACTTCTGTCCACTTTCCTTGTTCCCCCTTCAGTACGATGACGTCTTTTCGGTAGTCGTGGACTGCTGCAAATTGTTCGAGGAGTGGTTTGCCAAACAGGAACTTCCAGCCCCCTCCGCTGTCGAACACTTCGAATCCACCCTCAACCTCGACTCCCTTCACCTTGATACGGCCCTTCCAACGTGCCGTCCCTGGCACCACACTCCCGTTCGCCATGCGGAATTTTCTTTGCGTCGGCTCCCACCCCCCTATGGCATTCTTCAGCTTATCATACACTGTACTGTCCATGGCCGCTACCATCGCGCCATCGTCTACCATTGCTTCCACCTGTACTTGCTCCCCTTCAAAGTCTCTTAGGCTAATGTCCATTGCAAATGGAGAGCTAATGTGGCTGTTGCCGTTGTGAACGCTGTATACATCAATAATATTGGATTCCTCCAAAACGGATTGTACATTGTTCACGACCGACATAGTACCTGGGGTCAACTGTTCGCCACTTAGAACGCTGACCCTTCCCCATTTCCCGACTCGACCATGCCTTCGAAAATGGCTTCCGGCCCCAAAACGTGCACTGCGTTGACTCTTGCTACCCTTCCTCCCAATTCTCTCTGGCAGTATGCCCTCCAATCCGATTCTACCGGTGGTATGGCTCCTGGCTTGGGGCAAGGAACTTCGAATCCGTGTCTGGTACCCCCACAACGAAAGCACTCTCCCGAGCAAACTGCTCCGGTTCCTGGCTTCAAGGGTACGATGGTAAGCTCCGATAACGCTCCGTCGACGCCGTGCCTCGATGCCCATTCTAGGAGTTCCGCCTTCCAAGCTGCGAACCCTTCTGGTGTGTTGGGTTGTTGCACTTTCGCAGCGATACCCCTACGGAGAACTTCCTTTCTCGCCTCATTCAGAGATGTGAACACCCGGCGGGGTTTGCGTCCTCCTATGTTTCCCGCATAGGCAGGGCGAGCTCGCATGGGGGAAGGCAATGGTGGTGAACTAATCCTTGCAGCTGCGAAGTCTCCAGCAAGTTTGGTTCGCGGTGTTTCCGGAATCAGTGGTAGGACTTTCCTGCTAGCCTCGTGCTCTGCCTCAACTTTCAGCACACCCCATTTGACCGCCTTGATTGCTGACGTGAAATCCGCCCAATTGTCGTGTTCTTCGTCAACGGTTTTCTTCAGTGCGTATGGCAGTTTTTTCCAAACTGCCCCGATTGATTGCTTTGTCTTCTCGATCTCCGCACCTTTGGCCAGCCGCAGAAGTCGATCAGCCCACCATTGGTGGTAAGGCTGGTTAGTGTCTTCGCTGGTTGTCATAATCTGCTCATGCGTTATCCGCTCTCCTTCTAGACTTGTGAGGTACGATTTTGCCGACTTCTTTTCCTTCTTCTGCGAAGGAAAACGAGCATGGAATTTGGTTTCGAATGCCTCCCAGGGTCCGGTACGTTCAGTAGCCGTGAGGTCCTCGGTGTACCAGTCCCAGGCTCTGGAATCTCGCTCGAGGTATGGTTTTATGCGACTTGCAAGGTCGGCCCGCGGCGTCATTAGCTCTGTCATGCGGACCTCGAAGTCCTGCAGAAAAGTTGCAGGTTGTATCGGATCATCCGGGTCCCCAGAGAATCGTGTGAGTGGCTGCTGTGTGGCCATCGGTCGGGGCTGAGCGTTCGGTGTCAAAGGTTTGGGCTGTCTCGGCTTTGTGGGGCTTGGCGATTCGGACTGACGTTCTGAAAATTTTTTCACAGGTGAATCCAGTGGTGACCAGTCTCCCAGGTCTAGATCAATGCCTATTTCTCCAGTTGCTAGCCTTTCTAGCGGGTTCGTTGCAGGTTCGGAGAGTGGTCTTGAGACGAAACGACCGTTCGAATCGCGTGTCGGAGCCAGAATGTTGGCTTTTCTTTTTTCGAAACTTCGGAGGGCTGTTCGCTATTCTATCCGTCGGACTGTATCGAAACTTGGTACGTGTGGATCAAACCGCTGTTGTCACCAAGATGGACTGGCTGCTACCTGAGACTGATGATATCGAAGGACTCGTCATCGTTGTTGTCTCCCTGTCTACCTACCTGATACCTACTCTACTGCTACTGACAAACAATGAACAACAAGGATATTGATAAGATATTGGATAAGATAACGACTTCCGATAGACCCTACTCCAGCGTCAAGCCGGGTGGGGTTCTGCAGGAGATTCTGGGGGCCTGGACCTTGAGCTAAAACTTAGCACAATCATTTGCACATGGACAATAACGAGGTCCGTTACACGAATTGGTAAGATAGCATCAAGATGAATGGATAAAGGACTTGAAGTTCGAAGAGTTGGATAATAATATGCCCCGTCAATTTTTACTCCGAGTGCAGAAATCTATGCCGAACCGGAGCTCGAAAACGCATATAAAATTTCAATGAACGAGGTGGTTCTAATTTCTGTCCCCAGGCTATGTAAGTAGCAGTCAGGAAGAGCGTTCGATGGTGTGTGCAAAGGATCACAGCACAGCCACTGGGTGCTTATAACGTAATTACACCCAGGTGACTGTCCAATCAGGGTCTTATAATTACGCCTCTTTGCGCGTGGCTTGCCAGTTTCTGAACATAAAATCTTGCCTGCAGCTTGTTTCAACCTATTCAAATTCCAATGGGTTACGGAACTACCACATGCTGCTCACTGTCGCATATAATGTGGCTGTTTCTGTACTAATCAATGGGTACGAGGACCGAATAGTTGTGGCGATACCTTACGCTACTCTAGATCTGCAATACCCTAGGCTTGGCGAAGAAATGTGGATCCAATCGACACAAGATAACAAATCCAAATATGGGATCTTCTTGGATACCTCGTTTTACAACCCCCTCGCTTTCGGACCCTGGCCGCTTCACAGCCTGTGTCATCTGAAATTCGAATCCGAATTCTTTTGGTTGAACTGTGAACAGAGAGTTAATTCGCTCAAATGCGATGCATACTCCATTTTACAAACACGTAATGTAATTGGGCGTGCCTCTAGATCCATTGTGGGTTTTCTTTGGGTTGTTATGAGACTGTTCAACTCACTTTTACTACTACGCGCAAGGCTTTTCAGAAATTGTATCATGAATAAAACGCGGTCGATCTCACACACAAATCACACCAAGTGCCACAGTAGTTTCCGAAGCACGCAGCCTGTTTTAATGTAATGGCGATGTTCTCCGTCGCAGTCCCCAAAACGCTATCCGAAAATCTATGGCTGTTCTTTGGCTGTGGATCGCATTTGTTCTTCTGCCCTCTTCATGGGCTTAAAAGGTCCCTTGTAACAGTTTTCATTTCATCTCCTTTACCCTTCTCTGCTGGTCAGAAAGTCAAACTCTGGTAGTTCTCATCTACTATCCACGCTTGTCGACCATGCGCTTCTACACTGTCATTGTTATATCCTCTTTCCTGGCCACGGTCTTCGCCGCGCCTCATATTCAACAAAACCATGATATGAATACTATTCTTGAACGTGTATGTTCTCTATGCAGAATCTTGGTCGCAGATTCATTCTAATATCTGCGCTTTTCAGAGAGTATATCATGCAGTTGCAACAAGTTCAAAAACATCAGGACAACCTTCTGCAACTGCAAAGCCTGGACTAACCGAAAGTAAGCACTCGTCATGCCTTAGTGATTACCTGTGTCATTGCTGAATCATCTCTCCTCTCAGTCTCATTCGACGAAAAAGACGTTGGAAAAAATTCGGAACGACCGGACTGGGAACTTGAATGCTTCAATTATCCCTTGAAACACTACAAAGGCCAAAATGATCTAATTCTCAGAGAATTTGGAAAGGATCGCTTAAAGGATTTTCAGAAGGAGGTTGAAAAAGTCAAAGCCGCGAAACGATATGTCGACTCGGGTATACATTATGACTCTACCAAGTCTACTGTGTCGAAAGCTTTGAGGCAGTACACCTATGTCATCATCCTGACTACGTCTAAAGCTGGCATGTCGTTTTTGGAGGACCCTAGTGACGATGAGTCTCAGAAGGGCGCTAGGTATGTTTCTTTTTCCATTCTTGCATACACAATACTCAAATCGACTCTTCAGCCGTTCTCGATCGTAGTTGATAATTTCAAAAGATCGTTTAGCATATCGGCGTTAACTAGATATGTATATACGATCGGACAATTTATTGCCATAGCATTTAGCGGAAACTCGTTCTAGTAGGTTCTAGTAGAAATCTGTTCTTAGCGGTACACATTGGGACCTATGTTTGCATATATGCTCATGTACATGTATCACCCAGTGACTCGAGTTCAACAGGCACTCGCACCGTCGATATTGCTTCTGGGAATTTCGCTGGGTGAGCTCACAGCTACATAGTACTGGCTTTTGCCACTGCGGTAAATTCTCCCGCCACAGCAAAATTCAGCCCAAGCAGCAATTTTATGCACTGCATGATGATGCATCACAGCATCTACACTCATGTTGTAGTCTAGGCGGCCCCCCTTCCGACGGTTAGAAATGTTTTGATGTCTATCATAAATACATGGGTATACTTAAAAGCTCTTTTCTGCTCCAAGTATATTCCAAGAGTCTCTTATCTGCTGGTCAGAAAAGTCAAACTGGTACATCAACTTATCTTACTCTCATTGATTTCCCTCCATGCGCTTCTACGCTTTCCTCACTATCGTCTCTGTCCTAGCCTTAGTCCTCGCAGCTCCTCATCCTCAATCTGATCGCAGGGTTGGGTTCATTGCCTGATTGAAATCACCCATGTCAACATACTGATTTCTGCGTCTTCAGGGAGTACCTGGCCAAATTTTGCCGGCCTCGCCCCATGAAAGTCTTGAGAACTACTCGCCGGTCTCACTGTCAACTTCTACTTTTAATTCCCATGCTGAAGCTGATGGGAAGGAGGACGAACTACCCGTTAAATCTCCTACGAGTAAGTATCTGAATTTTCGATAGTAGCATGAACAAATTCTTCAACTTTGATCTGTCCAAGTCCGCGTCCCTTCTGGTCCGTGCTCTTCAAACCTGTTGAATAACCCTAATTTGAACTGTCTCTTTCCCTCCATTTTCCAGGCGCGCTAATCTTGAAGGCTACGGCGATTGGGAAATCAGCATTAGGAAGATCCCATGACGAACCGGCGGCATATGTAGACTATCCGCTGAGCGAGTACAAAGGAAAAGCAGATGATAATCTTGTTCTTAGAATCGTCCTTGAGGCCAATTCGCCATCCGACGTAGGGTTCAAAAAGTTAGTCGAGGCTGCCAAGGTTGCCGGCCGATTGGTCGACTCCGGTGCGGCATTCTTCAGTGGAAAAACCTTGACGAAACTTTCCCGCCCCGTCATTATTTTGAGGAAGAGCCAGAAGTCCAAACTCAAACTATAAGCACTCCGATTCTATGTACGCTTGATGGATCAGAACACAGTAGGCTGACACAATTCGACAGAGACACTAATGTCCCTCCTGCATAGTGGCTGGTCGGACAAAGATTCGATTGGCATGAAATTTGATACGGCCGACATATTTGTGGCCAGTTCCTGGAGAGGGAATTCAACCATTATAATGAGGGCTTACGATGTTGGACCGTATCATAACATCGATGTTACATCTTGTTGATAATCTGAGTCGGCGGAATACATTAGAGTCGTTATATGCGTTAATAATAAAGAAAAGAAGACGTGGAGCAAAGCAGTATGGTAGATTAGAGCAGGTGGCGGAGAAGCGGTAGGGTAATACCAATTTGTCCATGACAAAAGCAAGAGAATCCCAAAGAATCTACCGGAAAGTCATAGCCTGGACAGGGTTATTAGAATAGGAAAGACGTATACCGAGCCCCGACTACATTCGGGTCCGTGGTGATACATTGCTCGTATGTAGATCCTTGATATCAAAAAACACGCTGAGGCCGAATAAGAAGCAGAGCAAACAAGCTGCCGCCGAAGAGACGTTGTATGCATTACACCTGTACCGAAAAACCAGCGACAAAAACATCAGTGTTTCACTGAGCGGGGTATGTTTAAAATATATCGCACCATCCATCGTATCGGCCTATTGGACATCTCTTGCCCATCATGATCACTACAAACACCGTACCCCAAAGAACAACGCCGAATATGTCAAACGCCATGATCTTCTTTGCGAAACTCCTCGCCTTCTTCCATTCCTCCTCCATCGCTAGACCAACGAACACGCTTCGCCTCTTCGCTCGTCTGTGTTTCTTCTTCTTCCTTGCTGCGTGGCCGCCGTGCAAGGAGTGACTCCACCCTCCTGGTACAGAAGATCCTTCCCAATCCCAAGTACCGCCGCCACCACCACCAAGACCATTCTCGTCTTCTTCATCTCCCTCATCCTCCTCATCATCATCCCTGTTTCCACCGAACATATTCGGATCAACGATCAGGTTGACTTGAACATCTCCTGTATTTTCCCCTTGCCCTTTCCGACCCTTTTTGCCTTTGGCTTTCTTGTGGTTTTTGCCACCAGGAAGACTCTGGACGGGTAAGACCATCATTCCGTTGGCAAGCGGATTAGCTCGATCTCCGGGTACACTATGTCCCTTTTTGCGTCGGATGCAGCAAGGATAGATCATGAAAAGGAAGAGGAGGGTTAGAAGTGTGATGACGGAGAAGATGTACAGCACGTAAGCAGCAATGGAACCAGAGGGTGGTGCGGCTGGATTTGGTTTAATGAGCTGGACAGAGATGGTTTGAGTGACGATGTGGAAAACTATAATGGTTTGACTCACTATAGCGGCATATATTGACGGTATTCCTGCAGCCGCAGCATACACGATCTGCAAAACTCGAGTCGCTATCCGTTTATTTGGACCTTGAGTTACTAGATTACCTTTGCTATCCACCGTGCCTACGAGAGGTTTCCCGTTGTCGTCGAGGAAGTCGTCGTTCCTGGAATTAGACTTGTTCGATTTGGCATTGGGGCCGAACTCCCTTTCGAGCATGCGAATTCGCTCTGCTTTAAGTGAATCATTGATGGTAGGACCGTATTCGGGTGGATCTGAACTCCATGGAAGGAGATCTCGAGAGGAATCGTTGCCATACGAAGACGAGAATTGAGGATCAGAGTCGAACGGCTTTGAATAACTCCCTCGCTTCAGAGTATGATCTGGATCGAAAACATCACCTGATTTACGTTTGGGGTCGAACGTCGAGGTAGGGAGAGGCGAGTAGATATCTGGCGGAGACAATGGCATGTGACTATGATCAGGGTTATACCACCTCCGTGACCATGGAGGAAACTGGGAAATATCAACCTCCGAATGGGCAGGAGAAGTGACGATATCGGGTTCGTCTGTTGTGAGGTAAGGATAATTGTGGGAGCGATAGGAAGTACGAGGATGATTTCGAGGGTAAAGAGGTTGTCTGGAGGAGGAAGAAGGAGGCAGCGAGAAGGGTCTATGTGCTGGGGAACGAACGGAAGGATGAGAAGACGAAGAAAGGGTTCCGCTTCTGGATAGGAGAGACGGGGGATGCAGCGAGTCCAAAATATCATTCTCTGGTTCCGGTTGCCAATTCCCGTGAGGCCTGAGGGTTCTGGCATAGTCAGCCAGATCCAAGGCTTCGACAGACGCATCAGACGGTTCCCGGAGCTGTTGGCGAAGTTGTGAAGGCTGAATTGGATGTCGTGAATAGTCCTGGTGCAAATCGTGAATATTATTTTCTTGGGAGAAATACTGGTCCTGGTTGACATCCCTGCTGCTGTTGTTTACAAATGGATAAGGGTCATAAGGATCTGGGGACCAAGGCCGTCGAAATTGCGACTGAGGAGGAGGGCTGTCCAGATGTTGTCGTGAATACATTTCGCGAATGAGAAGTCGTTGAAGTCGTAAATGTTCGTAAGGAAGGTATAAGATAAGGTGTATATAATGTAATATTGTGCCTTCAGCTTGCTCGGATATCGAAAACCGAAGATGAAGTACTGTGGGAATTTTTGTGAACAGAGGTCAAAGCCTAGCACAAACGTTTCAAATTTAATTTCATCTCAAGTCACAATCTATGTATATGACAGTCCAGTCCACTTAAAGCCTCAGAACAGGAGTTGGAGGAAAGGGAAAGGCCAGAGTCAAGACAATTTGTACCAGTTTTCTGGTAAGGCATTCTACATCTATCTTCATTACTACTCTTTTTTACATAGCATTCTCACTCATCTTATATATTGTTCTCCATGTATATCGTCGTTCAGCTTTCGACTCGTTCTCAAAATCTATTGTTGGAATTTGCTCCTTGGTAATACATAGTCATCTGCTCTTCTCGCGCAACTCCGTGAGACGATGGTGCGAATACCAGACTATAAAGAGTCTCCTTGGGGCTCACTGACATTCCCAACCATTTGGTCCCACTAAACATGCCTTCTGCTACGCCCAACACCGTTCCAGGTACCCTATTCTACTTTTCTGCCCCTGCAGATGGTTCAGAGCCCTACAATCGCGTCAACACCGACCCAACCTCTACTCTCCCGCTCTCCAATTGGAGTCCAGAGAAACATACCGTCCAGATCGAGAATGTGCGCGATAAAGAGGCTTCTTTCACTCTGGATGAAGCTGGTTTCCAATACTTCAAACATCCCTCTCGACATACGTCTTTCGTGGACGATGATGAGATTAAGGCCGAATATTACCCGGAGAGTGCAGAATTAATTAAAAAGATTACTGGAGCCAGTCGAGTCGTTTTGTTTGATCACAGTATGTTTATCATCTTTTCCTGTTCTAAATTAATTAATTGTCTATGTTTAGCCATCCGGCGTCGTATCCCAGGACAAGCAGACATGACTGGTAAACGCCAGCCTGTGAGGGAAGTACACGTCGACCAAACTACATCCTCCGCCATTGCCCGAGTTCATCTCCATCTCCCATCCTCCGAAGCACCTGAACTCCTCAAACATCGCTTCCAAATCATCAATCTCTGGCGACCTATCTCTCACCCTGCTTTTGACTTGCCACTCACCTTGTGCGATTACCGCACCGTGGATAAAGAAAACGACTTGGTCGCGGTAGCGAGGATCTCTCCGGAAAGACGAGGCGAGACCTATCGTGTGAAGTATAACCCCCAGCATCGATGGAAATACTTGAAGGGCATGACCCCGGAGGAGTTCGTTCTTATTAAATGGTGTGTCTTGCGCTATAATTATAACAGTACGACAGATTCTCATATCGTCTTATTAGTTTCGATTCCACTGAAGACAGCGGAGTGTCGATCTTCACTCCCCACACTGCTTTCATTGACGCCTCTGCACCTGAAGATACACTTCCACGACAGTCGATCGAACTTCGAGCGCTTGTCTTTTATGATTAATCTTGTTTTTGTGCAAATTTTATTTGTATAATTCTTATTTCTTCTTTAAAACCCAATATACGACCTAAACTACTTGAATACGGCGCGGCCGTTAGATGCAAGAACATGATTGAACAAGCATTTGTGAGCGAGAACTTCAAGTTCTAGGGAACAATGGTGAACATCTACAAATGACAATTTGTCAGTGACAGAACATTTGTGAAATCATGTAACAAACGCACCTGATCAGCCTCAGGGTTGGTCGTATCACAAGAAGTATCATCCAGATTCCCGTTGTTATCAAACAAGCATGTATCAGCCTGGTTCGCTGGAAGAAGTGGTATAGTCGTGCTGTTTCCTGTGAAAGTAAAGAGTTGTGCGGTAGTCACAGTGCCACCTGAAGGAGATGGAGAATAAGCAATTGGGAGTCAATAAAACTGTACAGCACACTCACTTCCATCTGCACGGCCTCCACAAGAAAAGAGGATCACTTGATTACCTGCTGCACGACGTGGGTCAAAGTTCAGACATCCTTGAATCTAGAACAGCAGTTTCGACGGTTAGTCACAAAAGTCCGAAAGTGTTTTAATTTTGCACATACCAGAGTGCTAACAAATAGTGCAGTCCCTGGAACATTATTATGTACGCCGGCAGTAATAACATCCCATTGTTGACCTGCACTTCCATCACAGGTTTGCGTGGTTATAGGAATGAGATTTTCACGGAAATCGCCCGAGGTGGCGTCGACAGACAGGCATTGACCGTCGGAAGTTTGGATTTCTGCGGCAGAGAAGGCACGGGTAGCGGTGTCGTCGCGGACTTGAGCTTGGGCTACGGATGCAGGATCAAGGACAGTGGTTCCGGTTGACGCGGGAGCAGAAACAATGGTAGAGGCAGTGGTAGATGCAGATGCAATTGATGAAGCGGAAGCGATAATCTCAACAGACGAGGGAGCGGCAGACGCTGAAGAAACGATGGCGGAAATAGACGGGGTAGCAGTTGCTGGTGAGCTGGATACGACTGAAGCTCCAGAGGCCGAAATGCTGAAAAGCTAAAACGTTGCATTGTGATTAATTGAGTCGATAAAAAAACTGCTGCTGACACACCTCGCTTGAGTTGGGGTTGGTAGTATCACACGAAGTGACGTCCAGGTTCCCATTATTGTCAAAGAGACAAGTGTTCGCTTGATTCGTGGGCACAAGTGGTATTGAGGAGCTGGCGCCGGTGAACGTGAAAAGCTGCGAGTTGGTCACATTTCCACCTAAAGAAGAATAATTATATGAAGACAAGCGATGAGTTCACTCATACTCACTTCCATCCGCACGTCCTCCGCAGGAAAAGAGGATCACTTGGTTACCCGCCGCACGACGAGGGTCGAAGTTCAAGCACCCTTGAGTCTAGTGACATCGGACCTCATCAAAACCCGAAGGTCCATATTATATACTTCAGATACGCACCAATGTGCTCACAATAAGAGCAGTACCATTAACATTGTTGTGGACCCCGGATGTGATCACATCCCATTGCTGTCCTGCGCTTCCGTCGCAAGCCTGGACGGTTATAGGAATCAAGTTTTCACGGAAGTCACCGGAATTGGCATCAACGGAGAGACATTGTCCATCTGAAGTCTGGATTTCTGCAGCAGAGAAGGCGCGGGTGGCCGTATCGTCCCGGACTTGAGCTTGAGCTACGGCTGCAGGGTCGAGGACAGTGGTTCCAGTCGATGCAGGAGCAGAAACAGTGGTAGAGGCAGCGGAGGATACAGAAGCGATTGATGAAGCAGAAGCGATTGCCTCAGCAGAAGAGGGTGCTACAGACGTTGAAGTGACGATAGTGGAAGTGGACGGAGCAGAACTTGACGGTGAACTGGATACGGCTGAAGTTGCAGAGGTCGAGAAGGTGAAAAGCTGAAACATTAAGATTAAATCCAAAAGATTGATCAAAGAAAGAGTTTTGTAAACATACCTCACTCGAGTCGGGATTGGCAGTATCACACGAATTGACATCCAGATTCCCATTGTTATCAAAGAGGCAAGTGTTGGCTTGGTTCGTGGGCACAAGTGGGATCGAAGAACTTGCGCCAGTGAACGTAAAAAGCTGTGAGGTGGTCACATTCCCACCTAAAGAAGATTGAACATGTAAAGCAAAGCGATGAAGTCAAGTAAACCCACTGCCATCTGCACGTCCTCCACAGGAAAATAGTATGACCTGGTTGCCCGCTGCACGACGAGGGTCAAAGTTCAAGCACCCTTGAGTCTAATGATATCGAACTTTATCAAAACTCTAGAGTCTACATTATATAATCCTTGCAATACGCACCAGGGTGCTCACAATAAGAGCAGTACCATTGACATTGTTGTGAACCCCGGATGTGATCACGTCCCATTGCTGTCCTGAACTTCCGTCGCAAGCCTGGACGGTTATAGGAATCAAATTTTCACGGAAGTCCCCGGAATTGGCATCAACGGAGAGACATTGTCCATCTGAAGTCTGAATTTCTGCAGCAGAGAAAGCACGGGTAGCGGTGTCGTCCCGGACTTGAGCTTGAGCTACGGCTGCAGGGTCGAGGACAGTGGTTCCGGTCGATGCAGGAGCTGAAGCTGTCGAAGAGGTAGCAGCGGCTTCTACACCGGAAGAAACAGCTACAGAAGAACTGGAGGCGACGGAGCTTGGAGTCTCAGTGGCTGTCGATGAAGGGTTAGATGCAGTTGCAGGTTGACTTCCAGATGCAGAAATTGTGAAAAGCTGTTGAAACATGAGCTACGATCATCTTCCTTCATCCGAAGCACCCAATCTCACTTCGTTCCCTGATGCATTTACAGGATCACAAGAGGTCTGGTCCAGCAGATTTTCGTTCACAGTAAGGCAGGTTCCATTGTTACCATTTTGAGGAACCAAAGGCAACGGGCCGGCTCCGCCAGTAAACGTGAAGAGTTGTGAGTTCGTAACAGCTCCGCCTATATATCCAGGGCAAGAAAGTTAGACTCCTGAAATTTCCTTGGCAGTCGGAAGGAAAAATGAATACTTACTACCATCCGCTCTTCCGCCACAAGAGAAAAGAAGAACTTGGTTACCAGCAGCTCTTCGAGGATCAAAATTCAAGCATCCGTTTGTCTGATCGTACGAACAATATAAGGGAGATTACAAGGATGACGTCCAGAAATTCAACTGACCAAAGTACTCACGACCAGGGCAAACCCTGGTTCGTTATTGTGTACGCCGGAGGTGATGATATCCCATTGCTGAGTGTCACTTCCATTGCATGCGACGACTTGAATCGGTATAAGATTTTCGCGGAAGTCACCGGAAGCAGGGTCAACCGCAAGACATTGCCCACTTGAAGTCTACATAGACATCGAAGTACATCAGTACTTAGATTCAGGAAGCAAGCGAACAAATAAACCTGTATCTGCGCTGCAGAAAATGCACGGGTAGCAGTGTTGTCTCTAACCTGAGCTTCAGCAACAGCAGCAGGATCCAGAGTTACATCCCGAGGATAAATTGGGGCAGCAATAGCAAATCCAGCACTGAGCAGGGTAATAATCGTAGACGAAAACATCTTGATGGAACTGTTGGGGATGATTTGATAAAAGAGAGGAATGCCCGACTTGCGGGACTGGAAAAGAATGAGAGTGAAAGCAGTGAAGGGAAGAAAAGAAAAAGAAGGTTGACTACTGTCGAACCGACCATTGCCTTTTATGTGAATCTTCGGTGCCTGGGCTCGTACGCGATACAAAGTTGGTTCCTGGTTCATGTTATCTTCGTGCACATATTCAACCCTTCAATTGCAACGTATCTGGAGACATAATAAGCAAATTATTCAATTAGAAGTAGTAAGTATCACAACTCGGTTTGAAGAGTTCGGGAGTTATTTGTAAGAGGCGATAACTGGCCTTAACTTGCAATACGTTGAAAACTATGTATTCGATATCATATAGCAGTTTCGTCAATAAATGTCTTCATCACTCTTCATCCCATCATCGCGAATCATTTCCGAGTCACCGCCAAGATGTGACCTCCCGCTTCCCTCTAAAGCTGCGACTTTCGCTCCTATCCCTGTCGTTTTTGTTGATTTAAACTTCCACGCCAGGATCGATGGCTTATATTCAAATAACTCGTCTAGCTCTTCCAAGCTTCGTCCCCTCGTCTCTGGAACGAAGAAGATGGCATACAACATCGCAACAGCAGCAATGGACCCTATGGATACATAGAAACGATCAATGCATGTGCAGATGAAAATGAGAATACATCTACGAGAACATTGTATAATCACACACCATAGATGTATCCCACCTTGGCTTGTAAGTTTGCATATGGTGGATTCAATAGGTATGGCAGCGTGAATGATACTGCGAAAGCGCAGACAACATTGATCACAGACGAAAAAGCCATCGTCTTTTCTCGAAGAGCACCGGTACCGACTTCTGAAGCTCTGTATCGATCGTAAGGCTTTCTGTCCTAAAAAAAATATGCTAGGACCCACACGACATAAGACCTGGGTCTTGTGAGTACGAGTACAACTATATTTTCGAATGACTCGTATTCTAAAACTCACAAAGGTGCCCAAGAAGCGCTGAAGCTGAAGTTGAAAAGCATCACTGACGCTACCATCATATTGATATTTGCCTTGGGTAATTTGCCAGATTGACCACCGATGCCAGCCATGACATAGAGCCACAAGCTCTGGAAGAATGCTCCGCCGATCAGAACAGGTCGACGACCAAAGTATTCAAGTAGTATCATCCCCAGAAAACAAACAGGAACCGAGATAGCTGTATTGATGAGACTGTAGGTGAATGCCATGTTTCCTAATCCTTCTCGAATGTAGAAGACACTTTTTGAGCTCAAATGAGCGTCCCTTGCGCGATGAATAGTCCAAAGAGCACATACGTTCCATATTGACTACTGAATCCTTGGCCTAGAAAACGTGAATCAACAAGAATTTCTTTCACAAAAACTTGTTCATACCAGTAAGTTGCTGGAATGCAAATACTAGAATTCAACATCTTTATCCAATGACAAATGAAAAACTCAAGTGATTCAGACCAACCTAAAGTGGCAATGGTGGTGCGCCGCAAATTGGGACCTTTGAAAAGATCAAGCCAACCGAGTTTTTCAGCAGTTCCAGATTTTCGTAACTCGGCTTCTTCGCGAATGCTTTCCTCAATTGCATTTGCTTCTTCGACGCACAAGCCCGCAGCTACATCGCGCTTGGGTCTCACACTTTCCAGGACGGCGATGGCTTCATCCCGACGACCTTTATAGAGGAGCCATCGCGGTGACGGAGGTATGAAGTAAAGTCCTGCGAGGATTATCACAGGGGTGATGAATTGGATCGAAACAGGCTGCAAGAAGTCTCTTCAGAGATTCCATTTGTAGGAGATAAGTATACGCGCACAATGATCCAGCCACTGTTTGTCACAGAGGTACTGTATCTTCGGTTGACTCCTGATGCAACAAGCGCACCACAAACAAGGAACATTTGGAGACTGCCAACTACGAAGCCTCTCGCCGGTGCAGGAACGATTTCACTTTGGTACGTGCTGTCGAATAGGCGCCTCAGTCAATGACAAACCCCCATATAACGGAATATAGGCTTATAGCCCTCACGGAACCACGTTTTCCACGATCCCGACTCCGATGTAGACAACAATTCGTCCAATGAGAAATTGAGCGGCTTTCTTCGATGTACATTGGATGATAGTGCCAACGATAGTGACGATGCATAGTAAAAGCATTCCGAATTTATGACCAAAACGCTCTGTACAAGGCCCGATGATAACTGTACCTATCAGTTTTCCGGCGAATGCCAAAGACGTCAACAAAGATGATGTTTTTGCTGGAAGCGCATACTGCCCCAGGGTCGGATCAAAGAATCCAAACTGTTTGCTGAAAAAAGGTGAAATTTAGAAAAGTTCAAAACGATCAGATCAACGCGCTCACCCGAAAGCCGGTATAGCTTGTACCCCACCAAAACTTGCGGTATCGTCTAAACAATGGCCCAGCGTCAGAAACTCCAATCTCCGTGGGCAAGAAATACTTGCATCCGTATATGACATTTCCCAATGCCAAAAACAGCGTTATGGCAAGAAGCTTGGGTGTAACTGCTGCAGCTATAATCTTAAAGGACGCCATTAGAGATCGCAGGAGGTCACTTGTAAGAAACCATATATCTTACCTACCTCTAGAAAGACCCATGATCATTGTTGAATCCTTACGCCATGAAGAAGTCAATGGCGTGACGATATGAATATAGTTGTAGAAGAATCATTTGACACGGTTGCTGCAGTTGTAATATAAGGGAGCACAATGAATCCGGAACCAGTGGAATTTACACCCCGCATGTCTACTCCAAACAACAAGCGCCCCAACTTTCTTCTCATAGTTGCCGATGGTAAGTTGGAAGCACAAGCCATGATTCAATTCGGCTGAACAGATATCGGTGAAACAAGACCTTGGATTCAGTGATGTGGGATGCTTTGGGTCAGAGATCCGAACACCCAATCTTGATAAGTTGGCTAGCTCTGGAATACGAATGACGGATTGTGAGGGTAACTGGATATAGCGAAAGTACCGGGACTGACCACTCTATAGTTCATACAGCTGCCGCTTGCTCACCAACCAGAGCCATGCTGCTCTCAGGTACCGATAACCATATAGCGGGTGTCGGAGTAATGTCTGAACAGAAAGGTGAGGGCTCTAAGGGAGATGATCCGCTACTAGTGGTGAAAGTAAAATTCTGCCCTAGAACACGATTTAGCCAGATGGGACGTTCCAGGACATGAAGGTTATCTGAACCTCCGTGTAGCGGCTCTTCCAGAAGTTCTACAAGACAACGGGTACCACACCCTTTTGAGCGGAAAATGGCACCTTGGCTTGAAGCCTGAATACAACCCGGACAAACGGGGCTTTGATCGATCTTTTGCCTTGCTGCCGGGATGCTCAAACCACTATGGATGGGAGCCTCAATTCGGTGACGGGATGATCAAACATTTCGAGCGCATACCGCCGCTCTATACGGAAGATGGAAAACTAGTTGATCTGTAAGTAAGAAGCCAAAATCCATAGTATTGCTAACGAAGTCAGGAAACCCAACACGGCCAACGACCCTAATGGTTTTTATTCCTCCGACTTTTATGTTGACAACTTGATCAAATATCTTTCGGAGAGACCAACCGACAAGCCTTTCTTTGCATTTTTGCCCTTTGCCGCGCCGCACTGGCCTTTACAAGTCGATAAATTGTACCGGGACAGATATAAGGGTGTTTATAATGATGGTCCTGAAGCTCTTCGATTGAGAAGGTTGGCTAGATTGAAGGATCTGGGCTTGATAGCACAAGACGTTATCCCGCATGAGGTCGTCGCTCCACCAGAGACTGAATGGTCGACTCTGACTGACGAAGAAAGGGAACTTTCTGCACGAGCCATGGAAACTTTCGCCGGTATGGTAGAAAAGATGGACGAAAACATTGGCAAACTGCTCAAATACTTGGAACGAATCGGAGAAGCAGATAACACGTTCATTATCTTCCAATCCGATAACGGAGCAGAGGGTGCCTCGTACGAAGCCGCCCCGACAATGGGAAACAGTATCATGGACGTTGTGAACCGGTTCTACGATAATTCCATTGAGAATATCGGAGAACACAACTCCTTCGTTTGGTACGGTCCAAGGTGGGCTCAGGCTGCAACAGGTACGGACAGGCTTTTCCTAAGAGCCAGTTGCTGAAAGACGAATAGCTCCGAGCCGCTTGTACAAGATGTACAGCACAGAGGGGGGGATAAAAGTGCCGATGATCCTCAGCTATCCTCCGTGGACAAAGGCACGCGGAGGAGAAATCGTGAATGCATTCGCAACTGTGATGGACGTTATGCCCACGATTTTGGATCTAGCCGGCGTACAGCATCCGGGCAAATTCTTCCGAGGTAGAGACGTCGAGGAAATGCGCGGAAAGTCTTGGATCAACTTTTTCGAGAATGAAAAGCAATCCGAAAATGCGACAACGGAAATCCATTCAACAGATGATCCCGCGGTTGGATGGGAGCTTTTTGGGCGGGCAGCCCTGCGGAAAGAGAACTGGAAAATCGTTTACATGACTCCGTGGTCCTATGGAAAAGGTGACTGGGAACTATTTGATCTAAGCAAGGATCCTGGGGAAACAAGAGACCTTTCTGAAAAAGAGCCGGCGAAGTTGAAGGAACTACTGGAACTTTGGGAGAAATACGTGGAGAAAAATGGCGTCGTTTGGGGCAGTCCTGTGAGCGAAGTAGAAGTGAAAGTCCCTGGACTTGAGCGCAAAGATGTGATCGGTGGCGACCCTCTAGATGATACTAGAGCTTGGATGCCCCATCGTGGCCATTGTAAAGACTGACGTAACACTAGAATTGCTCAGGGCGGTATTGGATTTTCGAGGGGAGAGTCGATGGGTATTTTCAGATCTCAGAGTCACATCTTCCATGCTGTTTACATAACGTTCAAAATACAAAAGCGCGACTCAAAAACTAATCATTCGGAGATGGAGATGAAAAATGAACGACTTTCCCTATCTGCCAGCGATGATATACAAGAACTTTTTCGCGAATGATCATAAAACCCAGAACGCAAGCACTATTCCTATCAAACATATCACGCCCACGCAGCTGTAATTCCCGAGTATGCTGGTTTCTTTTGCAGATTCTGTTCCAAGAAAGAGTGAGTCCGTGAATTTGCTTGTTCAAAAGGAGGTTATCGCTTACAGCGTCCCAAGGGCAAGCTTCGCCCTGTCCGGAAAAGGTACTCGGCACCCATGAGTATTTGTCGGTGCTGTGAATCCATGTTATAAAACCAGGAACAGATTCTCGACTGCAAAAGACTTACTAGTCCCACACCGTAACCTGCATTCATGGCTATGAGCAAGGCGAAATACTGAATGAATCGCAATGCTTACCCCGACGCAACCTGAAACTGCTTTGCACGCGGAAATGACATTCTTGTAGTCCGTCTCTTGCTGCGCCAAAAGAGCCGTCGATGCCGGTAGTGTCATCCGGATATCAAGCTCGGTGATGGCAACCTCGACACCCAAAGCAGTAAATTGCTGCATAATCGATTGGAGGGACGTCGGTACTTCTCCAACAATGAAGTGGCATTGCAGACCGACACCATCGACTGGAATGCCGCGAGACTTAAGATCCTTGATGAGGTTGAGCATTGAAGTTGCTTTGGCTCCAGTCATCTCGATGTTGTAGTCATTTATCTGTTGCAATCCTTCTTCAGGAGTGATTTTAATATAGAGTCGTTCTCAACCCACATAAATTTTTGCCCCAGGGTCAGCTGCGCGAGCCGCCTGAAGAGCGATGTCAACGTAGCTAGTACCAAGGGTGTTATAAAACACGTCCGAACGCCACGTTCCATCGTCATTGAAGGGCTCTGTTTCGAAGGCATGAGTGATACTTAATGCAATCGCAGCCGTAAATAAGCCAGACCATTGACAACATCCCAACTATCTTCGGGATGAAAGAACCATGTCAGTTTTTAACTTTGGGAACGAGGAAATGTCAGTGCACATACAGCTGAAAGGGTCTGTTAAGCTTCAAGGTGATATCATGCATTGACTAAAGACTTACATTTCACCCTTGTAGTGGCTCACGAGTGTGCTACAGTGATTCTGGATGATACTAGTGAGTTGCGCGGAGGTGAAACCTCCATTGGACACCCAACTAGGCAGCTGGTTGTACCAAACGCAATTGTGTCCTATTACATCCGTTACAGTTTTCGATGGATATTTATTTGTATGAGTTTCTGACCTCGCATAATTTGACTGTGAGCTTTTGCCTGGCTTACGATCTGGTCACCACCAGAAAAGGTGAAGACTCCCTGCTCAGGCTCCGTCGCATCCTGGGGGCAACTTAAAACCTATCTAATTGTAAGGCAGATGGAACTCACCCATTTCATACTGTTTGCCGGCGTGAGTTGTCCGAAATAAGAGTCATCGCTGAGAATAGCAACGTAGGCCGCATCCGAGAGCTCGCTGTTATCCGTAGCAGTTCCAAAGTACAGCTTGCCGGCCGCTCTCGCAAGAGCATTACTGTTTGACCCAGTAGGTGCAGGTGGAATACTCGCTGTGGAAGTTGGACCGGTACTAGATGGAGGTGTCGTCGGTGTTATTGTCGGCGTTATTACAGGAGGTGTCGTTGAAGCAGTGCCCTGGATGAAATTAAGATAAGCTTACCACTCACTGCTGGGTCCTTCAGAAAAAAGAAAAACTTGCAGGTAGACATTGAGAATAGTACGCATTAATTACTGTGCACACCGTTCCGGAAACACAAGTCTGCAGGAGGTGTTCAATGCCTTACAAGCATGTACCAGCAACAAAGAACTCACAGTTGAACCTGCCCAGCCAATTCCACCACCTGAAAAAGATCATGGAGTGTAACAGGAGGAATACAGTCTCAAGAACATACATTGACCCCATTCTTGAGATTGGGCAGTGGCGAGAGAGACGTATATTGCCAAGGCAAGGATTGTTGCAGAGAGCTTCATCACGGTTGTGCTGATGCTTCAAAACGATCCTTCCTCGATTTTATATGTTCATTGTTTTGAACATAGACGTGAATGTTTCTTTGGTTTATCTTCGCATCAACTTGACTATGAGCTGTATCGGTAGCAATTCCAGATGGACGAACGAAAGGTGTTTCTGTGACGAGAATTGAAGAAAACGGCGGACAAACATCGGCAGTCATAGTGATAGAAACATGATCTGGCCAGGCAAACAGTCCCTCGGTCAACACAGAAACCAAGGTCGTTTTAATTGTAAACCAGAGCGCATGACTACAATGACCTACACAGTGATACTGCCAAGCGCGCCAACCAGGCTGCATTGATCATGAAAAGAGTGATCGAACGACAATATCCCGAGCCTACTTCTTGTCCTTTGAAAACATCGGTGACCGTGTCGTGAATATATCAATACGATATGTATTGGATGATATTGCATCTGTAGTATTGTACGGAAAAATAAATTGGCATCGAGGTACAGATGGATTTTAGCTGGCTCTTCTGGGTCAACACGACACGCCTACACCATTGCTACTGCTGGAATAGTCTCGCAAGCCGGGATTAACGAGAGTGAAGAAAAATCGCTCACTCATGAAGGGGTGAATAAGGTATGTTCCGAGTCTTCGAAATCTTTAATGTCTGTTTCTGATTATGTTTTTCGTGTGCATTTACTCTGCGCAAGAAATGAGCGAAAACAGGCCACCGTTTCAATACATACCACCCCCAACGACACCTAACGGATTCAGATCCTAGCCTATCCCATTGAATCCCCGCACGCTGTGAATACATAACGCCGTGGTGTGCATGGACTATTGGGCAAAGTTCATAGCCTATATGTAGCTAGCCGTTTGTAGTTGGAGAGATTATGCGTACTAGAGAACACTGAATATAGCTCGAGATTACGTAACTAGGGAGTCGGCCCGTATACCTGTGCTTTGGATTCGTTGCAGAGCGATTGGAAAAGACAATGAACATCTACGCTCTACCATACTCCGGAGGCAAGTGTAAACTGCCATTAATTTGTGTACGACGAATAAATTTTAGAATCATCCATTCTGTATGAGGAGTCAGGACACAGAGGGCATGTCTTTTTTCTTCCCTCCGCGAAATCTTGGCAAACGTTCCTCAGCCTGCGCGCTAGCTATCTGCTGTAGTCACTCCGAGGGCACTTCGGAAAGCTTTTTGTATGGATACGGAGAAACATGTACGTCTTCTATACTCATGTGAGCCGTTTTTCTTCCCCAGGAACAGTCAGTAATCACCCTTCCAGGAAATATAACTAGTATTCTGGCGTGGATACGTTACCTTGTACTGCTCACGCATGCTCAAATTCAATAATATTAGAGATTCGCTCTTTGACAGATCTCCTTCAAATATCCATATCCACTGAATTTCCGATTAACTTCAAGCTAGGACGTGTCTACAGCGAGCGATATTTGTAGCGAATGATAAGGTAGTGTGTAATGTTCCCGCTTCAATTTCCTCTCGTATGACGCGTCCTTGGTCTATGCTCACGGCCCAAACCTGCTCTAACCTGCTATAAGTGCGTACAAACTACTATTCTTAAAGCTAACAAGAACTGATGCAACACTTTCCCATTAGTACTTGAGTGTGACATTCGTCTTGGATACTAGAGAAGAACAATATGCACCTTTCCGAGTATGTGCATGTTGCTCATTTCTTATTTGCTGCAGGTCGAACAAGGCGGGCGATGAAATTCTATTCAGTTTGTAACAGCTTGAACGATCTTGGATGATGTGGCATGATCTTGACCCGCGGCCAGTAATACTTGCTCTAAAATCATAATTGCAAAGTATCCTATCTCATCGAACATGACCACTTCATCGTTGGCTTCTTCGCTTTCACTCCGCAAACTTCAGCCGATACCTTCCCGTCTTTGCGACTGCGTACGTATTCATGCCATCCTTTTCGCACCGAGGTTGTACCTGTAGCAGACCTATGCATCTAATTCTGCGATGATCACTAGAAGTCCTCAGAAGCGATTCTAATCAATGCCATTTAGCAGGAAGGCAAAGTGGTAATGAGGTAGTTTAGAAAAACCCTAGGTCAGTAGTCGTGAAACCGAGCAGCCGCTGAATACGAGGATTTCAGTCAAAGGGATCAAAGGGTGGCCACACCTATTTTCAGTTTGATTTTGACGTGAACCTTTAGGTATAGTACAATCAGAAACTTCCCTTCTTTATATTCAAGTGCCAATTGTTCCATCGCTGCCGTGCATTTTCAGATGGTAATTGCATCAGTCAATTAAACCATGTACAGGTAAGATACATAACCTTCTGTATCCCTCGAAAATAAGTTGTGAGTTTCCTGCCCTCCCCCAGCAATCTGTCTGCTATTTAGTGACTAATTCACTCACCCGCTGCTGTACCATCCCAACGATACTACCAAAGTTTTTTGAATCATATGCCTAGACAGTTACATCTCGAACGAAAATTTCAGACCGGAGGTGTGGTATCCCGGTATACTACCTGTAGTAGTTGCCATGGTTTGCGAGTCTTTGTCTGTAAAAGGTGGATCCTTTAGATTAAACCTGAAGCACTTACTTCGGGGTGAGCTGGACCCTTCCTTTGTTCACAGTTAATCTATATCGGCTTTGATCGAGTGCTCACCGCCGCGGAATCAACTTACTATATCCCCGGAATTTTGTACTATTAGACATTCTTGACGCTCCAATATAAAATGGCAGTTAGGTATGCAAATATCGCTGCGTTATGAACCTCTAGCTACTATGAGCTTTTTAGAGAGCCAACTCGACGCAGGTCGGTATGCAGATGGTCATTGTGGGTGCAAATGGCCGGTGAACCAGTGGGCACATTCATCTTTCGGATCAGTAAGTGGTCTATCAGTGGATCAAAAATTGGTACCTCAGCCAGAGATATCGCGTCGATACTGGGAATTCGACGCGTTTTTACGCGTCATTACGTCGAAGAATACCTGTGACGAAGCATTTGAGAACAAGGACGCGACGGACGCGGCTGGATAGGGGAAAAAAAGGCTCCATCCCATCAGCGCGCGCGAGCCGGTTCGGTACGAATGGCACCATGAGGCTCACAGGAACACCACTCCTTTCTCGTTTGCGCAGATGGTCTCAGAATATAGGATCCACCTGCTCCACATCATTTGTAGGTCTCTTGTCAGAGGTTTGAAGATCGTCATTTTCCATCAAAGGTTGTACGGAAACCAAAACGGAAAGTTCTAGTGATTTCCTTTCCAGGGGAAAGATACCAAGCCGCCGTGTAATTTTGATTACTTAGAATCTTGTCTTAAGATTAATCGTTCGGAGGATGGTCAATAGTCGCTCATAGCATTTCTGAACGGTGCAGCTGGATGGAGAACAAGGACAGGCAGGAAGCCTTGATGATGAGATGCTGTCGTTAGGGTCTTTATGCAATATATGAACTTGGGTTGCCACCAATGATTGAACGTACTGAACTCTGAGCTTTGGCCTGATTGTGGCCGATGTATGGTGATGAGATTTATCGCGGAAAGAGTAAGAGTAAGACATACATATCTCCGAAGTCACAATTACATGATGGTATAAATTAAATATTTAGTTTCCCACATAATTATCTCTTCCTTTCTCTTTCACTCGTCCTTTCGCCAACTGGTTCTCCAGCACCTGCGTCAGGCAGCTGCTTTCCCCCCTGTTCTTCATCTTCCAGGATGCCTTCTCTTCGTCGCACCGTATCTTCGCCCGCTGTTCGGTCTTCTCCATACCCGACCTTGTCGTCTTCAGGTCAACTGAGCAGCGGGCCAGCTACAAGGCCAGGTCATAGTCACAGACGACCATCTGGCTCGGAAATTGCTACCAGAAGAGTACTGGCTGATATTGAATGGTGGCGAGTCACCGACGGCCAGCGCGACTTGGAAGCTGAACAGAATGGCCACGAGCAGTCTCCGCCTAGAACAGCGGAGAACCTCATGGATATGTTGGAGGGTCTAGTTTCACCTCTTTGGCCAGGTTTTTCCGAGGTATACTCAATTTATCATACCAGGGTATTTTCGTGTGCTTATTTCCTTGTTACCAGGATTTACCGGAACTCTCGAGTATCGTACCACAGACTCCTCCTCGCCGCGGTCACCGCCATGAATCGTCTAGTTCATCAGTCCAGTCTACATCAGAAACCTCGGAAGGAGCCGTGGAGGATCTGCGACTGGGCTTGCAATACATGGGCTTGAGCGCTTCGGATGTAATTCTGCCTCCGGTCCACTCGAATGAGCGAGCGACTGCTTTCACTTACTCGCCATTTTCCCGTTCTCGTTCGTTCGTGAGCGCGTCCGACATACCACAGTATGATTATCCCGATTTTGCCGGCTCCCCCCTCTCTTCGCAATCTCCTGACATTTTCGATTGAAATTGCGATGCGGGCCAGGCATTCCACGAATCAAATGTGATCATAAACTGGTATTCAACAAAAAAAAACATCTATGTTTTGTCCTTTCTTTTTTCTTGCTCCAAACGCGCTCTGTACATCACATCAAACGCATCTTTCATATTCCAAAGATTTCATCCATTTCTGATCCTCGCATGTTGTTTCACGATACTTTCACGACACTTGAAGACGTCAGGGTGTTAGGCCATTAGCTGTTACAGTCTATTATTCACTATTCCACATTCAACATTTACCAAACAGCCAATGTACATTTTCATCTTCTCCATATACACATGGTTCACGTTCACGCCTTTCACGCTTCTACTTCAACAAACAATTCGTGTACCTACATTTCTCTTCATCTACATATCACGTCTTTCAAATCTCTCCCCGAAGTATCTAGTGACAAGTTATATTTTTTTCTCGTATTTTCCATCTGTCTTCAACCAATGTAACGACTAGACATGCATCCATCTCTTGTTCATTTGCTCTCTTACCTTGGTCTCTGCTGTTGCTCGAATTGCTATCGCATCACGATCTGTCACGAAATACGTTTTTCAAAATGTTTTACTGCAATGTTGCTATACGAAATATACGTCTTTGTCTGGTCCAAAAAAGACTTCTGTTCTGTCAATTGAATCCGTTATATGGTGAACTCGGGACGATGCGCGATATTGCGCTAATGATCTTTATAGTCCTAAGCCTATCGGAAGAAATGAATCTTTACCGCGGGACGTGATATCTTCGCAGCTAAGGCAGGAATAGTCTTGAGCGCAAGCTAACCCCTGAATAAAAGTTGGCCTAGAAGGTCCTAGTATCCGAAGGGAGCCGCTCTTCTCAAGCTATTGCAAATTGTGATAACCCCACAAACTGAGACTGGTCGATTGCGAGTCGCCTCACAGAAAATGGGGCTCGGCTAACGTTCGAAACCAAAAATATTCCTTGGTCCAGCGACCTTGCTCCATTGAGAGGGTTGCAAGGGGCCATATCGAAGTTCGACTCGAGGGATGGGCTGTGAGGGCCGGTTCACAGAGGCAGCCGCAGGTGGACCCGAAGGTGGTGGTGGACGAGCTGGCAAAGGTGTTGCATTTTGATTCAGAGCTCCTTGACGAGCCTTCCATGCCGCACGTATATGATTCGAACGAGATAAGAGCTGATGTTTTCAAATCGCGTTATTATCTAGTGTTTCAAAGCCATATTCACTCACTGTCTGCTTTTCTACTCCATCGGCTATACTTGTTATGATATTCTCAACGACATTTTTGTGATTTCCGTTAGGCTTGTCATTTCGAAAGCGCATCATACGCCAGCCCTTTACGTGGGCATCCCAGTGAACCTCCACAATTCGATCGTCATATTGCTCCCCAGATTTTTTCATCCTACTCTTCCCATGAGACAAAATCTTCAATCACAGACCGAACCGCACTCACTTTTCCCATTCATCCTCATCAACGTACATTTCATCATACTGTTCGTATCGTGGTGTGCCATTCTGGTCTCCACACCACACGTGCAACAGGAATTTGGGTTTGGCGGCAAAGTCGGGTTGAGTAGGAGAAGAAGGAAGCGGGGGGAAGCGAAGGACAAGTTTGAAGTCAATCGAGTTTTCAGTTGGAGGCTTCCATTTTATCCTGATGTAACAGGTTAAGATCTTGAACGCTATGCAAGAGGTAATAATTACCCACACGTTTGAATCTGTGCCAGGGGAATAGGGTGTATTGACGCAAGTGTAGATAAGCCCGTCGTTCTCATGTTGTAGGGCAGGTATGTCCATGGAGAATACTTGCTCTACATTGTATGCAGATCTGATTTCCTTCACCTTAATCCTTTGCACCACATTAGCCGTGATCGGGCCAGGGAATGATGAGACGTACTCGAAAGGCTGCGACGCCGCAACATGAGGATGATCGCGTACCATCTTTGCATACGGCTTATAGAACCATTCGTTCAATCGCTTGAGAGACGTAAGGGGAAATTCGATTCTGCCAACAAGGGAAGCTCACTCCGTAACGTTTATCGAGGGGCCGGGACATTACATTTTGGTTATCCACCACGAGGCAATCGAAGACTAGAAAACGAGTGATTTCCTGTAGATACGGGGCTCAGTAGAGATAAAGGCCCACGAGACCTCTCAATATTCTCACCCGACGTGTTCTCGGATCAACGTCAATTACCAATTCGCCATCGACAAGAGTATTTCTCAAAGGATTCAGAGGATTTTCGTGATGAGGAAAGAAAAGGCCAGTCAATTCGCGGTATGTGTTGTGGCGATCAATCTACAGCAAATTTGGAGTCAGTTCCAGAGTTCAGGAATTGATATATGTATATTGCGCACGAGAAAAACCTTCTGACCATTTTGGTCAAAGAGGACGAACATCAAGACCCGTATCCCGTCAGACTTTTCGCAAACCCAAAAGCTGTCATAGATTGTATGAAGGACATTGGGTCAAAGAGGGTCATGGCTCACTCTTGACTTTCGAGCTTCAGCAAATCCCTCGACCCAAAACTGACGGGTTGGGATCCAGGAAATCTATGTACACCTATAATGTTTGACCATAGTTTTCCTGACTGTGATAAATCTACCTTTCATTTTCCAATTGACAAAGCCGTGCAACAAAGGATTTCAACCACGATTCTTCCGGTGAATGTTTAGGAATGAGTTCTCCAGGCAAGTCGGGTATCGGCATTCGTTCAAAACAGGTACTCGGTCAAAGCTGTGGTCATCGAGCTGGCACGTGTTCAACACTTGAAATTTCAATGAGCTCACGCTCAGTACTGCAGGGAACACTTTTGATATGCAAGTCAATCCTTTCACTACCACATAACCTTGCACTTATCCCCCTGTGCCCCTTATCAGCCGCTGCTAGTGCTTTCGGAACGGGTATTCATGGAATTTTGACCGCGCAATCCAACACGGGCCTTCGCGTGTTTTCAGCAGGGGTAAATGGCGGAATATCTGGTGCTACATTCTTCAGTAAGTACATTAATCCTTATACTCAAGCATCTTTTCAAACACGTACGAAGGTATACGGGAACTCGCTGTCAACCCGTTGTTAGTTGCGACACTTCCGTACGGACGTAAAGAAGGAATTGTCTCTGAGAATTCACGATGGTCAGGAATTCGGACAGACAGGCTTTTGGAATCGGCCATTAGTGGATTTTTCACAGGTGGAATCCTACGGGGAGTCACTCGTGCGTGAATTTAGTCCTCATTCAAAAACCTACCGTTTCCGATCGTCGAAACAGGAAACCTTCGAGCTGTTTCCTCAGGCGCCATCTCAGCAGGTGTCATCTGCACCTTGCTTCAGTACATGTATAACGAGTCAAGAATTATTCGCTTGAAATATCTGGTCCATCAACGCGAAAACTCTGCGACGTCTTCTCGTGATCAAAGAGCGTCCAATTCATCACTACCATGGACGGAACGACTGCTTGGGATTATAGGAATAAAAGCTGTTTCAGACGAGGAACACTTGATATCACTCAAGCAACAGAGGGATGCCCATTTGAAGAGGATAGCAGAGTTAGAGAAGGTCGAAAGAGAGGATAAGGATGTCACAGGATAAATATGATTCATATAGATGTTTCTATAGGTGTCTCTCTATCCCATATCTCTATGATACCTTTTCCATCTTTCGAGAACCCACCGATGACGATTTTCGTATCATTTGTGACTAGAGCATTGACTTTCTCCAGTGCAATTCCCTTCTTCCTCCATAGTTCCTTGATGTTCTTATCTCGGTCACTGGTTTCACTATTTATTCTCCACTGTGCTATTGAGCCGAGGAGAGTGGATGTTGTAAGAATATCTGGGCTGGAGAAGGACCTGTAATCTGGTTTAACTCATGAGATCGAAAAGAGGCGCGCGCATTCGTACATTGCGACGATCGGTCCGTCCACGACCTTGATAAATATTTGTTTTTCCCCGTCCGATAATCCATTCCATTTCCTATATCGTTTTGACTTGGTTTTTGAATGCACCTTTTGACCTCCCAGACCAATCCATAGACTACCATCTGCAGTCCCAGCCGCTAGAATACCAGTTGAAGAAAACGCGGTCGACAGGATAAAAGGCGGAGAAAGCGACACTCCTTCAGTATTTTGGGAGAAACCTGCAGATAGTTAGTTGTATTGATGACCAAATACCTCATTATCGAATATACGTACTGATTTTTTGTTGAGATAGTATTGCGCCTTCTCGGAATTCGAAGTGGAGGAAGGTCTCATCATAGCCAGCACTGACAATCTCTTTTGGTCTGTCGGGTACGAATTTGACGCAAGCACATACCTTATGTGCAATAAGTATCGAGGTTCAAATAACCAACGTCAAACTTACACTTGTATGCTGTTCTTTCATTTTTGCAACTAATAGGCTAGTAAGATCAACCACACCCACCACTCCAGAATCTGTACTGAAAGCAAGATGCTTTTTGGTGGGATCCAAGTCAATCTTACTGATTTGAGTGAGATTGTGTGAACCGCATGTCAAACATATCATAGCTTACCTCGTTCAATACATCATCATCTTCAGTCAGCCTGAGGGATAATATTGCGTCTTCAGCAGTAGCTATCATAGAGGACATGTCCATTTTGAAGAGGAAAATCTGAGCCAGAAACAGCGTCAAACGACGGGCACGCGTTGAATAGGATTGTAAAACTTGTACTTGGTTGCCGCACGCGACCCAGGCATCGCGGAATTCTGATCCACTTCGTTTGAAGCAAGCGATGGATGATACCTCATTTTTGAGTCCACGAACAGCTTTCAGAACTTTGAACGAAGACAAGTCATAAACGCGCAATGTTCCATCATCTTGCACGTATATTCAGACTAGTTTGATATCTGAAACGGAAGATCTTTACCTGATCCTGCGAATAGATGGCCTGCATGGCCAAAGTCAAAAGAAGAAATAGGAGCTGGCGTGTTCAGAGTTTTTACAACAACATAAGGACAAGAACCGTCCATGAAGGAGAAAGCAAAGAAAGCAAAGATTGGTTCAATTGATGTCATTGCTGATAAGCGCTGAGCGCTGAGCAATCAAAAGATATAAGCGCTGCCCCTTGTTTCTCTTCAGCACCAATGACATCTACCAAGGACGCACCAGAAACGCTTCAAGACCTTGAGACGCTTTTAAAAAATGATAACAAGGTCAAGGTTGCTGGTAAGCTTGCTCACAAATCCCCCGTATCTATCCTCATGTTTCCCGCAACAGGCATCGATGGTATGTACGTTTAATGTAAATCTCGCATATCCTCCGTCAATAGATTTTCAGTGGATGGCGTACTTAGAGGAAAGTTCATGGTGCGTGAAAAGTAACGACTGCCCTTCAGCAAACTCATCACTTCGCTAGTCGAAAGAGAAATTCCTAAGCGCAGCTTCATCAGACGGTTTTGGGTTTTGCAGTGTGATTTTGTGCGTCAAGTAATGAGTTGATCAAACACTGCACCCTGACAGAATATGCAGTGGCTGGGACATCCATGATACGGTTTACTCTCGAGAGCTTCTCATTTCCAATAAAGCTAATGGATATAGAGACATCCTCGCGTCAATCGATCTGTCCACGTATCGAAGGATTCCATGGGAGAACAACGTCCCATTCTTCTTGGTTTCCTTTTTAGATCCTGATACTAAGGAACCCTTAGTCGTGGACCCGCGGGGAATCTTGAAAATAACTTCGGACAGAGCTGCAAAATCACATAGAAGCTGTTATGCCGGGGTTGAATACGAAGTAAGGACCCCCAGGCTTTGAAAAATCGCCTACCTTATTGCCTCTTTCCTCATAGTATTTCAACTTCAAAGGTATAGTTTTTTGAATGATTCCCATTGCCTTCTCAGACAATGTTCTTTAGAAACACCTGTGTCCCTTGCAGAGAAGAAATTCCAGAATTTAACACCTCTCACCCCTGGGAGTACGTGCTGATCAACTTACATACATCGTCTGGTTAACTTGCTACAAGTGCACGGTTATTCACTGCTGCGTACTCAACTTAATAACGAGTATTTCCACTCTATATTCGATGAAGCTTCCAAGTTCGGCGTCGACATCGAAGGTCACCGTAGGTGCCTATGTATTTCGACTGGCAATGTCAAGGCTTACAATAGAAATCATCAGACACCGAGACTGGTCCTGGAGTCTTAGAAACTGCCTTGGCATACACAAATGCTCTTCGTATGGCGGATAATGCTATTCTATTTAAGTTTCTCACAAAGAGCATTGGCATGCAACATGGCGTTCTTCCCACTTTCATGGCTAAACCTTGGGGGAACGTATGTCCACTTGTTCCCTTCTGTCGCCGTATAAAACTTATCTTGAGTGAGTTTAGCTTCCTGGGTGCAGTGGGTACGTTTTTCTGAGTATGAATACCCAAAAAATCACGACATCGACGTATACCATATCACAGACATACTCATGTGTCCTTACGCGACGATTCTGGCAAAAATATATTTGCCGTGTCTGAGGCAGAGCTTTTAACTGGGAGGCCCGGAGCAGCTAACGACGATGTTAAGTTCCTGAGCGAAGAAGCTGAACACTTTCTAGCTGGAATTTTAGATGGTATCGCTGATGGTATGTGTCTCCATGCTTTCCATTGGCTACCAAAAATTGAGAATTTCTAGTTATGCCCATGGTATATATCTTCAGCCCCAAAGTCGCAATCAAAAGTTTATTGACAGTCAATTCCAGCTTGTACCTACAATTAACGGATATAAACGTCTGGTCGGCGGCGAGGCGTTTTGGGCACCTAACGCCATCACCTACGGTTACGACTCTCGCGCGGCTTCGATTAGGATTATATCACCTCCCTCCGTCCCTTCAGCCGCTACGCGACTGGAAATTCGCGTCCCCGGAGCCGACATGAACCCTTATTTCACCATCAGTGCCATATTCCTGCTAGGCCTTCGTGGGATCGAGAAGAAGCTCAAACTGTCCACACCCCCTATGAGCAAGCTTACGGCCGATGATAAGAAGAATGGGACGGTCAGAGGCTGTTTTACCTTGTGGAAGCCTCTCGTTCCTCTATACTAATGCTCTAGTCCAGATTAAGATGTTACCCACTTCTCTGGAAGCAGCTACGGAACGCATGATGAGACCAGAGAGTATTGCACGAGAGAAAAGCATGTTTGGTGACGTTTTTGTTGAGCATTTCGGCGGTACTAGAGAGCATGAGGTTAAAGTCTGGAATGAGGCAGTCACGAATTGGGAAGGTGAGCTTTTGTGCTGGTAAATTGCTGAATGAAACTTACTCGTCTTTAGTGGAGCGTTATATCGAATTGGCATGAGTTGAAAGAATTCAAGTTAGCATTTATTTCTAGAAGAGAAATGCAATCCCGCGTAACTAGATAGTCACTACAGAGCGTTGTCTTTGTGTGTAATGATTGCGAGCGAAGCGAAGCAATACTGGCCATAGGGTGAAAAATTTCGTCAATTCTATATTCGCAAATCCCACGAGGTCACAGCCACCGCCGTTTTTGGTAATCCCCTGTAAATTCCTCGTCATTGAATTCAGTCGCGACTGTCTATCTTCCATTACCTTGTACATTCTTAGTTGCTCAGTATACAATCCTTGTGCAATCATTACAGTGTCTTGATAATTGTTTTACGGAGGCGCGCCAGCACCGACACCCCTCGAAACTAGAATTTCGAAGCGAGCACCACATGTGAGACGTACTTGGAACGGAGGGGGCCGAAGGCCCCCTCCGAGCCGGACGAAGGAGGCTCACATGCGAATGCATGTTAGACAGATTGATAATATGTATATTTCACGATCATTATATGTACAGACCTTGATGTTGAGCCATCGCCCTGTCATCGGAAGTAGCGTTGAAGAACTCTTCCTCCGTTGCCATAACCATGCAATTCTTCCCATTCAAGGTGTATATTTAGCCCAGGGTGTTGCTTTCCACCATCGACCATCTCCTTCTTCCTCCCACCATGTCTGATCACAGTGAAATCAAGTTGACGATAAAGCCTCTCAAACCCACTGGTATACATCTGTCTCTTTCTGGACGATGAAGTTCGAACATGTCATGAACTCCCGCTTTTTCCAGATATCCCTTCGGAGGAGGCCATCTTCACGACGGCGGACGCGCTGATTGAATCATGTACCTCCTGGAAGCAGGGAAAGACGTACCATAAAGTTGTGAAGACGTATTCCCGAGGAAAGGGTCCAGAAGATGGAGCTCCATGGCACTGTAGGATTAGTGTGCATAAATCCGAAGAAGCCACTTTTGACCAGATGTGGGCAAAGCTTGGGAAAGACAAGCCTACGAACGAGATGCAGTGAGTCTTCAAATATTGAGTGTGTACTGAAATGTGGCGAGAGGATCGCCTTTCTTACAATGAGCTCCTCGGTATCCTGTCGGTATCATTCAATTTAGATTTATTCCGGACATTCACAAGGTTACGAAATTGCAAGAAATATCTTCTACCCAGTCTATCTGGTCTTTGTATTACAAGTTTCCTCCTCCAGTATCTCCTCGAGTCTTTACGGAGCTACAAGTAACGCGGCTTTCTGAAGTTGAACCGCGTACCGGGTGAGTCTAGTGTGGGCTCATTGTCTCGACATGGACCTCATTTTTTCATACGTAGGATCATTATTTCCATACCCATAGACTTATCTTCGCCCGAAGACGCAGAGTTGGCCAAGATGGAAGAAAAAGGTGTCAAAGGCCGGTATGTGAGTATAGAACGAATCACAGAGCTCGAAGATGGGTCGACGGAATGGCGTATGGCCACCTCAAGTTCACCAGGAGGGTCTTTACCTTCGTGGTTGGTAGAAAGTACTATGGCGGGTAAGATTTCCGAGGTGTGTTTGGGTTTACTTGCTTTTTTCACCCCATTCATGGTCCGTTGATAGGATGTGCCGCATTTCATGAAATGGCTTCATAGTCTACCGAAGACGGAGGCAGCAACTGAAGAATGAGGAAGAAGCATGCATTTTGCCGGAAGGATATTGTGGGTGTTATATAGTATGATGATACCAATGAATGCATCGCACTTCGTACAGATTAGAGGTATATATGTTGACAAGTGTGTCGCCGCTGGTGGCACGTCCAATATAAGCATATAGACTAAAGATTTGCTGTTATTGCTGTCATGATGTTGGTGATACGGTTTGTGGTGTGTTGACATTTACAAGGCCAAAGTAACGACTTCGACCGAGCTCTGATTCATCCCGGGGGAGCTTTTCGCCACGATTCAAGACGACACCAACAAACTTCCTTTCTCCACGCATATACTTTTGCTTGTAGAATCGGACGTATCCAGGAACGAGAGCGTAAATTGTGTGATCCTTGCCCATTGCGACCTGCGTGCAAGTTAGCATAAGGCAAACAAAGGACAAAAAAGAAGACGCACATTTTGAGAAGGATGAAAGACACTACCGCGCTGTCGAACAATGATATTTCCAGGAATCACATACTCATCTATTCAGGTATGAACAACAGAGTCATCGACAAGGTAATCCCATCGCGCACCAGAGAATTTTTTGACACCAAGACGTCTACCAGCAGAGCCACCGTGATTAGCTACTGTACCACCAGCACGTTTCGTTGCAGTACGAACGGCACCTAGCCCTGGAGAACAGACAAGGGAAAACACAATTAGCATTATCCACTTCTTCATCGTAGAAAGACCTGCCAAATGCAGCAAAAGGGTTCCTTGTTGCTGCATCAAAACAGCGACCTAGAAAAACCATAGGGACCGGATAGAGACAAGCGATAAACAATGGCTTTGTACTGGTGCAACCCACAAATTAGTGACTAGTCAGACCACGTGGACCCGAGTTACTAAAAGGCAATCCACACGGCCTTTTTCGTTCTCTCTTTCTCCATCGTCGACTTCTGTGAAAATGATTGTCCTCAAAACATCCGATAACGAAACGTTCAATGTTGACAGGGAGGTTGCTGAGCGTAGCGTTCTGATCAAAAACATGCTCGACGGTACGCCTTTGTGCCACTGATATAAAGTTATTTCACTGAACTTTTATCAGATATCGGTGAAGACAGTGATCAGGCTATCCCTCTACCAAACGTAAATTCGAGCGTCTTGAAGAAGGTGAGTTTTCAGTTTCAGCGCTCAGGAATCCATCATAAGACACGCTAAACGATCTTTTCCATCGTAGGTTTTGGAATACTGCGAGCATCATCGTGGTGAGCCTCTGCCAGCAGCCGATGCTGACCAGAGCCAGGACGAAACCCGGAAGCGTACCACAGACATTAGCGAATGGGATCAGAAGTTCATCACTGTCGACCAGGAGATGCTTTTCGAAATTATTCTTGCCGCGAATTACCTGGATATCAAATCTCTGCTGTGCGCCCGAGTTCCCCCTTCACTGTGGAAATAATGCTTACGGGATCAACCTAGTGACGTTGGGTGCAAAACTGTTGCAAACATGATCAAGGGTAAGACCCCTGAAGAAATCCGGAAATTGTTCAACATTGTCAATGACTTCACACCTGAGGAAGAGGTACGCTCTCGGGATTTTGATCGTTGTGTCGTCGCATGCTGATAGCATTTCGCATCAGGCTCAGATCAAGAAGGAGAATGTGAGTTTTTCCATACGAATTATTGTTTGTCTCTTGATTGTAATTATTTTCATAGGAATGGGCTGAGGATCGATAGAGTTGATTCTTTGTTTTACAAGCATTCCACTTCGTCTGTACTTAATTCATATTGCTTTCCTCTGTTCCGAACGTAAATGAGCCGCAAGCTCTTGTATTTTTAACTTGCACTTGTGTGACTTCCCAGTAAAGGTCGAAATCAAAGGACAGTGTTGGACGTGATCAAGCTTAGACGATAGTCTATGCAAGGCTCATAGCAGGTGAGTTTAGCCTTCAATGCTACACCCTTCAATGCTACACCCTCGCTTAAGCCATCTCCACCTACCAGGCTCACATGGGTCCACCCTCCTGAGGTCTACAAGCGAGATGGCCGCTTAGCAGTGTCGCAGTCAGCTTCACCTCAAATATTGAATTCTCCTTTCTTCTTGCCTACGTAGTTGACATATATACGCCGTTGGTCTTCGCATCATATAAGTACTCACAAACTCAGACTTCTTCCCTTGCCTCCCCCTTTTCTTCCTTCACTGATTCTACTAGGTATGCTAAATGTCTGTCCCTCATATTATTGTACATATCTCTCATGTTTAAGTATATCTATCCTCTTCCTTCACTGATTCTACTAGTTATGGTATGCTGTTCATTGTCGCCCACCCCTCGCTATCCACAATACCTCGGTTTCCCGCCCTGTGTCAGCCCTAGTTCCGGAATTTTTTTGGTATTTCTTGACACCTCACTAGGCCTCACTTCTTGCACCACTATCATCCTAATATCAAAACGGCCCTCTGGGTCAGTTTTTCACTGGCTAAACACCTGTCCGCGGGTCGAACCAAAGCAATTGGTCATCTTGAAGTGAACTTCAATCATAATCGCATTTTGCTTCTGCCGTTGTTCCCACTGCAATGGAGTTGAAAAAGCTTCACGCCTTAGTTCTCCGAGGTACTATTGTCTGAAATTTAGCGTATGCAGGCTGTTCTACACACAATTGCCGAAGCACTTTAGACAACTACATCGATGCTCATCATGTCCTATTTTCTCCTACCTACCAAATACCTTGAGATTTGGATATTCTCATACACAAGTCTACACAGGTGGTTCACAGACGTACGGCGGGCAACTCAAGAAAAACGATCGCACCGAATTGGACTCCATCCCCATCACTGTCTATTGAACCCTGAAGTCACCTATGATAATTAAACTGCCATGCAGTGCTATGCCCATTCATCCGAAACATTTAGTGCAGCATAGTACTTGTGGTCGTACGTCGGCCTCGTCCTTTCGTGCAAACCATATGATCCTATTACTGGAACATCCTCCCTGGCAGTGCCAGTGAGTACTCAGATCCAGATTGGGCAATCCACTACCCGTCCGGCTTTCGTCTCAGCCTTCTCCCTCTCACTTTCCTCCGTGACTCCGCTCATCAAGTCCATCCACCAGTCGCAGACCTCCATAACGACACGGAATTTCCCCGGCCTTTTCGAGCTTTCGCATCAGCTGTTTCTTTGTTGTTGTTTTGAAAAATAATCTTCTTCCTGTATTCCTATCCTCAATCGCCGAATGGCTATATAACAGGGCACTGTTATTTCTTAGATCATACTTGAGTCGCTGACTACTTGTTTCAAACGTCCATGCCTGCTACGGTCTCCTTCCGAAAATCTATACGGTGGATTCCAGATCAAGCCTCTGAGCCTTCCGATACAGTTGTTCTGACTGGAGGGAAGACCGGTGTTTTTCTCGATGTACGCTTTTTGAAAGATTCAAACGAAATCGAGTGGGCTTTTGCTGGATATCGATCAACAGGTATGTACTATGCTCATTCTTTACATGTCTCGTTCCCTATTACTGGTTGGCCGATTAGCTGATACCGCTTAGTCCTGGTAGGAAGTGAAGAACTAACGAAGTTCACACATCTGATCGATTCTCGCACGAAGGTAGGTGAAAGTTAATGATTTTACTAGACTTGCAATCAATTCTTTGATTGAATAGGATCCCTTACAAGTAGTAGACTATGGCTCTAACACTGTGCTGTCCGATGGAACGATCCTTGAGAAAGGAGAGATGATGAATCCAGAGACCGGAAGGCTCACTGCCTACGAGGAAGTATGGCAGGACGAAAGTTCCGACTCGAATCAGGCAATTTTCTTGCAGAATGTCAAATATACTAGTTGGTATGCACGAGTTGGACATTGGCAACTCGCTCTTGGGCGTGATTCCGCCGGTGTATTCTGGGCTTTTCAAGCCCACTCAATCGATGGAGATTGGATGGTAGTACACAATCTCGGTGTGACTAACAGCGGAACGGTTACCCTTTTGCCGGAAGATACCTCCCACTGGGCAGAGGGAAGAGTACTGGAGTGGAATGGCGATCGCTGGCTGGTGCTGGAAAAGGAGTAAGAGGTCGGCGAGTGATGAATACAATCAATGGTTGCAAAAGAAATAGTGTACAGATCTACAGTGTATCTCTGACAAACCCGAGAGCTCCGAGTGACGAAGCAATCAGTTCAAGGATTCTCTGGCTTTCGGTACGCTGCACCTTCATCAATCGCTCCACGTCGTCGTGTAACTCGGAGTTTGAAATTATCGTGTCCGCGTGCATGCGAAGAAATACATTGAGGAATGCCTGAACAGCTTCAAAGTCTTGATGTGATAATAATCTTTGTGTCAAAGCATTGATAAAAGTTCGAAGACTGTCAAGTGTCACCAAAGACTGAAGTTCAAGGTCTGCAGCTGCAGCTGAAAGGGTTTTGGAAAAAGAGAAGAATGACTCGTCTAGCGGGAGTAAGTCGTTGATTTATGTCAAGACTCCGACGAACTCACAATCCCCATTGACATCCTCCCCATGAAGTCGTTGTAAGAATACGCTCTCGGCATTCTGTATTGCTTGTTCTAATCGTCGGGATGGATTTTGCGACGCGCTCTTCTTTGGCTCAGTTACGAATCTGGTCTCAACACCAGGTAATGTCGGCAAGAAGAATGGCGCTTTTTCAGGAGCTTTTGGGGGCTCCTTCGGTTTGTTCCGTTGCTGAAGAATTGTCCATTAGTGACAATGAGGCCATATAAACTATCATGTGTATACCTGTATGATCTCTAAATTGAGAAGGGTCTGCCATTTCGAGCGCGGAAGTAATGTCAACGTGATGAGATCACCATCCAACTTGGGAGGCGTCGAAAACACATCAACTTGGGCGGCCAGTGCTTCTAATGGCGATAGCGACTCTAAAGGTGTTACATGAGTATGAATTACGATACATGATACAAAAGTAATCAGAGATACCTTCGCCCTCGGCTACGCCTTGCATCAAGGGAAGATCAACAATTGCGATTTCATCCTCAACGACAGTTTGAAATGCAACTTCGGTATACTGGGCTCGATTCGCCCTGCTCCCGTGTGAGCTTGGAATTGTGTGAGGCAAGAGGATCTACGAGCTTACCATAAGAAAACACCAACGCTATCAACATGGGCTGTGGCGATAAAATCATTGGTGGGTGAAAATGACACACTAGTCGCTACACTAGATGTCCTGAAGGCATCAATCAAACGTCCAGTGGGTATATCGAAAGTCCGAATTATTGAGTCCAATGAAGTGGTGATAAGCCACCTGGAGTCAGGTGAAAATGTCTGCAGAGAGTATTATCAGTTACACCCTTCAATTCGGTATTGGATGGAGACAGCGTTGACAACCATACAATGTCTAAAACACGACCACGGAATCCCCCGAACTCTCTGACGACTGTTTTTGTCTCTATGTCCACTAATCGGACAACCATGTCATCACACACAACTGCTAGTAGCCCATTGTCCCGCTGAAGGACCATCGATACCGCAGCCGATGGAAGGATGACTGTGTGATCAAGGTTTGCTGTATGGAAATCGAAGAACTACCAAAATCATTCAAGATAAATAATGACGGTCAAATCGTAACGCACATTGACAGTACCATCGAGGGTGCTCGCTATAACCACTGTGTTCAATGAATCCGTCGCAAGGCCGGTCACAGAACGCTCTTTGGTTCCTTTCTCCGTTGTTTGGAAGCGACCTGCAACTTCAGGTGGGCATGCTCCAACGCGAAATGTTCGTCGTCGTATTCCAGACTGCATATTCCACATATGTATGGCACCAGTAGAGGAACCCGCTAACCCAAAGTTGCCGCAGGCTGTTACACAAACAGACTACGATAGTAAATCAGCCGACCATCGGTTGAGAATTGGAGGCATTTAACCTTTGCGGAGCCAAGAGGAGAAGCACGTTCCTTTCCTTTAGCCCTGGAGGTATCAGCAAAGCTAAAGTTGTGTTTGCCAAGTTTTTTGTTTTGCATCGACCATGTTCGCGCGAACGTTTCATCGGTATGTGCAGTGAGAATGTCGTCCCAATCTTTTGTGCGAGCAGGAGAATGTGAGATTGCAGTGATCGGAGGGAATTTTAGGTTCGCCACTGGTATCGACAGGCCGCTGGCCTTTTTAGCAAGGGATCCTAGAAAGTTTGAGTATTTAGGTTGGCATTATTAAGACATGATGCGAAAATTTACCTTGTGATAACTCGAAAGATCTCGAGTCGCGAACAACCGAAGTGCATCGAAGGCTGCGATCTCTGGAAGCCGTCAAGAGCTGTTTGCCATCCTCTCCATAATAACGAATAAGATGCGGAGGGGCCTGATGTCCAGAACGAAATTTCAACAGCCGAGGGGCAGCGGAAGGGGTGTCGAACAACCATTGCTAAAGGATATATTTTTGAGTCCCCAAAAATGGCATTCGGTATAAGCCGCATACCTTGACGCTATTGTCTTCGCCAGAAGTGATCAAGACAGGTTGGTTAGGGATCCATTCGAGAGCGCTTATAGCGCCATCGTGAGCTCCTCGTACCATATGCAATAGACGGCCACCTTCGTTCAGGTCCCATATAGCAATATGTCCTAAGGACGAGGCAGAAGCCATAATGGGTTGCCCATCTGAGGAAGATAAGTCGTCCAGGATAATTTGGCGAAGTCAACCTACACACCACTTCGAAAGCCCAAGGCACGAACGCTACCACCGTCCATAAACATCCTCATCAATCGCTCATCTGTCCGTACATCATAAACGGATATTTCGCCCGATGCAAATCCAATTCCGACCACATCTATGGCGGACGATTGCGTGAGAGCGGTGATTGCGGAACCCTCTGAAGCAGAGGAAGAGAGGAGAGATGAAGTAGCGAATTTGTGTATGCAGGTTCTGGTAAAGGCGATTCGATATAGGTAGCTCGACAAGAAGAAGAAAGTATTCACTGGGAGCGGATGTTCCATAGTTGCACTGCACCTTGACTGCTTGAAACAAGAACTTTGTTCAGATATGTAGCTGGATGGAGTATTGATGTCGCAGTGAAATCGTTGTCAAATTCAACGGTTGTTTCCATCACTACGAAAGAGGTTAATGAGGCCATGGAATAGTTGAAGAGAATACAACCATGCCTTCCTCTCTTATGTCCCAACACAACATTCTTCCGCCATCTTCAGTCAGAGAGAGTAACTGTGTTCCAAAAATAGTGATGAAAGACAAGGTAGTTCCTAGAGGATTGACGAGACGCGAAACCTATCCGTGTGCTGAGATGAGAAGAGTAAGAGGAGTGAGTAGATAGGGCAAACCTCTTTTCCACGGATGTATTTGATCACATTAGGCCCACTGGCTATCCATACAGCATCCCCATCCATGACCATACTCGATATCTGTTCTTCGACTTCGGGACCTGTTCTGCATTCTGAATTTCTGGTGAACTAATCGCTAGAATAGATCTCACCGACGAAGAGTAGATCCATCTTGGCACCATTCCAGAGTGCCCATGACTTTCCCAAGCATGTAAGAATGTGTATTCGAGGCCCATCCGTTGCACCTTTATGCGAGCGTGTCTGGATAACGAATGGGATGTGATTTGTGATGAGACCTAGAGCCCGGAAAGGGACAAAAAGGCGAGGCTCATATTTTGGTTTATTAGATTTTTTTTGGTCTTGCCTCTGCCGCTTTCGAGGAGGAGATGGCAGTTCTTCAACGGTCATTCAGTGAACCTTGAGATAGTGGACTTGAATTTTCGAATGGAATTCGAAACTGCAAATTTTTGTAATTGCGTGATCACGTGCTACGAATTTCGCCTCGGAATTGGCAGGCCCCCGGGGCCCGGAAGCTCCCCCAGAACCCTGTCCGAAATTGCATATTTTAGAGGCCAAAATCAGCCATTTCCTTGTCCAAATATAGCGTAGATTGAAGCTCAATAAGTCAGACCTTGTCCGGTATAACGTAGTTTAGAAGCACCAAAAGCAAAATTGAAAATTATATATTTTGAGTACTTTACACTGCCATTTTTGGAAATTTCAGGGAATTTTTTTGGATTTCACCGTCACTCACGTGATTAACCTTGTCCGTTATAGCGTATTTTAGGCTGAAAACCTGCTGAAAAGTTGTTCTATTCTGCCGAATTCAAGCCCGGCACTTAAATCGGCCAAATGCCCTAAATTAGAAAGATCCTGATGCGATCCTTCCGCTTAGAGCAGTGACAGCGCTTCGGTTGAATCGAGCTGGTTCATCCGGCTCTCTGTTCAGACCTTCCCACCGTGCTGCATTAATTTTGCACGATCTATGCTACATACATGCTATGTAAGATCAATGCATACCAAGAGCTGGAGAATGTGAAGATGAGAAAAACTTTATATCAGTGTTGAGAGCTGCACACACACGCAGATGTTCTGTAAACTTGTTGCATAAGTTGTTACTTCACACAAGGCCCGCAATTCATGTATGGTGTAACTTGCCTGGAATGTAAAATGAACGAAATTCAGCAGTTTATAATGGCTCTCAGATTATCTAGCAAATGTTGGCAAGTCATTCCTGCAGTCTCCTGTGTCTGCCAGCAGATAGAAACTTTGGCATTGTGATAATTTTGAAAGCCATAAGCATGTACTTGAATGCTTGGACAATTCAGGGAGTGGTTGACTTGCTATGCAGCAGCTCTTAGAATGACTGATGTAAATGCATCAAGGACCGAGCACAGCAGAGCACCCTGTATCACCTGGACTTCAGGCGGGAAGAATTTAATGGGTACCAGCAGTGAGGAGATATCGTCTCAGCCATCCTTAAATCCATCCTTAAATCCAGCTTAAATTCACGTGAATTTATCGGATAGCTTAAATTATGGCTTATTTCGTACTTACTTGACTTATCTGTCTTTATATCTATTTAAAATGTAGTATTTCCTTGAGGTGTTGTTTCAAAAAACAGCCAGCCCTGCTACCATCCAGGATTATATTATTTTCTGGAACACTGAATACTTTTGCAATGAGGCAACAGAGGGGAACAGCAGTATTGGAGTGAAAATCGCGTCAGTAGCTTCGAGCTACAGCGGAATATCAGTCACATGACTCGTGTTTGTGCTGCCACTTGCAAGGTCAAACGACTGGACCATGTCCCTGTCGACGTCTATCCTCTATCTCTTACAGAGCAGATGAGTTTTTGTTGAGCATTGCTTGCACCTGCTCTCTACAACAAACTGACCACCTCAAAACTGGTCATGGCCCCAAAGGCACGGCGCGTCCGGAACTGCTGTAGTGGCGGGTGCAAGCAATCTTAACTTACCTCCTCTTGATCCCCTCAGGGCCTTATCTCTCACTCTTCCAACTAAAGAATGATTTTAAAGCAGTATGTACCATGAAAGGCGGATGTGCAATCCCAAGGTGAGTTGAACAATTCTGGTCATGCCTCACTCATTTTTGATTGAATCCTGCCCTAGATAAGTGCGACAGGACTACGAAATAATGCTCAACCCTTGAAGCATAACACTTAGTCTATGCAAAAATAATCTTGCATGTCCTCGTTGTCACCTCCAACCCTGAGGCGAGTGGGAGGGTTTTGGTCATATCTCACTCATTTTTTATGATACTCTGCTCTAGATAGGTGCGTTAGGATCACGAAACATCACTCTATACCCAGAGCATAGCCATTAGCTCATGCGAAGACGAATTCTTGTCTGCTCGTTGCCACCTCCAACCCCAAGGTGAGTTGAACAATATTTATCATATCTCATTCATTTCTGATTGCATCCTGCTCTAGATAGGTGAATCAGGATTGCGAAATGTTACTTTACACGCCGAGCATAGCCACTAGCTCATGCGAAGACAAATTCTTGTCTGCTCGTTGCCACCTCCAACCCCAAGGTGAGTTGAACAATATTTATCATATCTCATTCATTTCTGATCGCATTCTGCTCTAGATAGGTGAATCAGGATCGCGAAATGTTACTTTACACGCCGAGCATAACTATTAGCTCACGCGAAGACAAATTTTTATCTGCTCGTCGCCACCCACAACCTCAAGGTGAGTTACACAATATTTATCATAACTCACTCATTTCTGATCGCATCCTGCTATAGATAGGTGCGTTAAGATCGTGAAATGTCACTCTACAGCCAGCGAATAACTGCTGGATCACGCGAACACAAGTCTTTGGCGGCTTGTCGCCACCCGCAACCTCAAGGTGAGTTACACAATATTTATCATAACTCACTCATTTTTGATCGCATCCTGCTATAGATAGGTGCGTTAAGATCGTGAAATGTCACTCTACAGCCAGCGAATAACTGCTGGATCACGCGAACACAAGTCTTTGGTGGCTCGTCGCCACCCGCAACCTCAAGGTGAGTTACACAATATTTATCATAACTCACTCATTTTTGATCGCATCCTGCTATAGATAGGTGCGTTAAGATCGTGAAATGTCACTCTACACCCAGCGCATAGCTACTGGCTCACGCGAACAAAAGTCTTTGTCTGCTCATTGCCACCTGCAACCTCAAGGTGAGTTGCACAATATTCGTTATAACTCATTCGTTTCTAGTTGCATCCTGCTCTAGATAGGTGCGTTAGGATCGTGAAATGTCACTCTATGTCCAGAGCATGGCTCTCAGTTCACGCGAAGATGGATTTCTATGTGCTCATTGTCACCTGCAACCCCAAGGTGAGTTGCACAATATTCATCATATCTTCCTCATTTCTGATCACATTCTGCTCTAGATAGGTGTGTTAGGATCACGAAATGTCACTCTACGTCCAGAGTATGGCTATCAGCTCACGCGAAGACAAATTTATATGTACTTGTCACCTGCACTTGATGTTATAGTCCACTTGTGCAATAATGAATTCACAGTATTTGATCTGAAAATAATGTTCTTATTACACATAACAGTATCTTCTGTAGATTATACTATCAGGATGAGTACAGTCTAGTTGCTTGAACATCGATGCGAATGAAATTTGAAATTTGAAACATTTGTTTTCCCCCCTTTTCCTCGTTCTTCTCTATTATATCCTATTCTAATGCCTCGTGCCCACAAAGAGACTTCACACTCCTCTAAATCAAAGAAAACTTCAGCCACCAAAACAAACTCTCCACCGAAGCGACTTGCAGATTTACGAAGTCAAACGAAGTCAAACACAACAGCACATATACGGGCAGACAATACCACTAAACAATATACACAGGTCATCCAGCGGGTGAGGAAGTGGCTGGAGGAGTTCCTCATCCTCAAAGTTGAAGAGAATGCAGGGGGATGTCTAGAGGATGAGGACGAAGATGTCCCTATGAGGAATGAAGAAATGGCCTCCGAGTTTCATGGATGTCTTGATGGAAAGCCCAATCAGTTTACTCCTGAAGCCATTGCAATGTACATATCATGGAAGTGTTACGAAGAGGGCAGGAAGCTATCAACAGGAGAATCAGTTCATGCCGCATTCAAGTATCATTACACGCACCTGTATGTCAGGATTTAGATTGGTCTGGATTATATTTGACTCCTCTGATTTGAATAGTGAAGGCGACAAATATCGTGGGGATTGGCGGTATGATGAAGGGAACAAACGATGGATTGGAAATCCCTGTAATGCAGCAGAGGTTGTCGATCTCATGGAGGGATGTAAGCGAAAAGATGGGGAGAGCGAACGACATCATTCCAAACCAGCAAGCATCATCATCATGGAGAGGTTGTATGCTCACTCTATTTCTGTCTGTCCCGATGACTATCCTGTCCTGGATGCAAAATCACTTGCATTCAAGATTTCGCACCTGCGGTTCCGTGCTTATTCATCATTGGGTTTCACTATCTGGACAAGGTATTTCTTTAATAGACGCACATACCTGAGTCTCAAATTCCTTGATATTAGAAATACAGAGACATCGCATCTCCAGGCCAAGCATGTTGACCGCAACCCTCTTCCCAGACCCGGCGCAACACCGAGTGATCCTCCTTTTATCCAAATCAACCTCAGAGACCGGAAAAACTGGCAAAAGAAGCAAGCAAAGAATGAAACTCAGCTGAACGGTATGAGAATTGATTGATTACCTCTGGCTATTTTGATTTGTAGTATCCAGAACATTGTTACAACCTGTATCCTCAGAAGATCCGTGCAATATGTGCTCAAACTCATCTTTCCATCTGGATGGAATTCTGTGAAGAGCACATACTCCGCCGACAGTATGAGCCTGACGACTACATCTTTCCAACTATCAATGCGAACGGTGTGACGTTCCAGTCAAAACAGCCAATAACACCCGAAGCAGTGCAGAAGATGATCGACAATTTTACGGTAGCTGCTGGGGTTCCAGGAGCATTTACAACCCATTGCTTCCGACGTGGGGGTGCTCAATACCGGTTCATGTTTGCACCAATTGGCAAACGCTGGACTCTGGCTCGAATTCGATGGTGGGGTGGATGGGCACCAAATGAAAAGGTGATTTTATCTGATTCGCTATCGCTGCTGGTCACTGATATCAATCAAGCGTGATACATTAATACGGTACCTCTTGTATGAATTAAACACGTATGAAGAAGATCACAGTGATGCGTTAACGAGCTTGCCTCGTTTTTGTGTGAAAGAGAAAGGAAGGAATCTAATGGGCACTCCAACCAACCAATCTAATACACAATATGCGAGTTCACTGCTATCAAATTTATTTAATAGCAAGGGGTAGCGTTGGCAAAGGTTCCGCAAAGCTTTGAGAGCTAAGTACGAAGCTTTGATTAATCAATTTGAATCGTTCTAAGGATTCGATATATGCCTTTGATCAAGGTAGATTCAGCACGATTTGTGCTTTGGTTTGTATTGATTTGGGTATATCAAGAATTGGGGGTTTGAATCAAAGTAAATTAAAACTGAAACACACAGACCCCTACAGAGGGCTAGAACTATGTGCTGGCACAATCACACAGCGTGATTTGCCCTTAAGACCAACGACTGATCCTAAGTTCGAAGAATACCCAACAACTGGATATACTTCTCGCAGTCACAAGGAGCAGAACACGACGTTCCTATACTCACAAGTGCCGGGCCCGAATGGCTGCTAGCGAAGAGGTTTCAGTCTGGCGGGAGTGTGTCTTTCCTTTTTACGGATTAGCACTGCAACGTCGTCCCAAAATCACTTGTATTCCAGATACATCGGATCGCTATTTATACATACAGAATATAGAGTCGCATAGTACAATTAATTTAAAACAATAAACGTTCGGAACCGCAAGGAAACTTCTACACTCAGTCAGATACCATTTAATTTGAATCTACATGTCCTTATTTAGTCCATATTGGTTCCAAGATTCTAGTATACCTCCAAACATGGGTAGGTACTTCAATATTCATTTAATTTAATTGTTTTTAGAGAATGACTCGAATGGTGTTCAACTGTCATTGCTGTTCAACACTTACTTCGATCGTTTGTCATCTCGTCCGGAGGCAAATCAACTCTCCTCGATTCTAATCCTATCAATCTGATTCATCTGGATTAAACTAATTGCTTCTCTCTTTCAACAGACACCCATTGTGCCTATACTCTATCAAGGGAGTTACGCATAGTATTCATTTAATTGCATTCTTCAATGTTTTCTACGTCAGGACTCTTTGACATTCATTTGATATGTCTTCGGAGCCTCGCAGTCTTTCGATCGTTCTTCTAGTCATTTTACTCAACCCTGCAACTTGATTGGTCTATTAGACTAAATCGCAGTCCTTTAGATTAATGCATGATCTTGTTCTAGAAGGAGTATTTGATAATTCCTGAGTTCTAGAAAGTCATTTCGAGTCAATCCTCGGTTCATGGTCACTTGAGTAAGTTCTTCCAAACTCCTGCCAGTGTAAGGTCCAATAAGAATACCCTTGGTATGTCATACGTGAATGGTCATCCTTCGGATGTAGTCCGAGTCTGGTATAATCCTGCTTGACAAACAGGTAGACTGCTATCCGAAGGTAGTATCGGGGATGGGTAAACTAACCAACTTGTGGTAGTATGGGTATATGGTCCCTTCAACTTATTAGACTGATTCAGTATTGACTTTGACTGTCAATCTGGGTCTCAATTACAGTCCTCTTGATACAAATCTATACGTGAAAATGTCACAATTCACAGCATAGACGTCTAGCCAAAATTTAGGCGTGTCATCCCCCCCAAACTAAAGAATTTGACCGTCCTCGGTCATTCGTAGTTTTGTATAGGGAAAGGATACCCAATCTGTTTTTAGATGGATTCGACAAGACTATATCTCCTTTTAATGTAATTCACTGGGTTTGGATCTCTACTTCTCCGTGCTCTCCAATCAATTTGGATGCCCTCAAATGGGTTTCTAGCGCTCATCTATCAATTTATTCACACGCCTGCTACGAATCGTAACAGTTTAGCGCTCAATTTGAATTGAATACTTTTTCGGTATTCGTATCACATTTCAAAATTTTAATTCACAATCTTTTTATCATCTAATCACAGAACGAGCTTCCATTTCACGGAGAACTGCTCTGACGTGATTCAGTGTGTACATTTATTTGGTTCGGGGCACGGGGTTCAACAAATTCTCGTTGAAGTCCGTTTTCTTTCTTTTTCTTCCTTCATCTCGTTCTTATTAATTCAAAATGGCCCCAACCTCGAGTCAAACTCGGGCTGCAGCTTCGACCACGCTTCTTCCTACCTCCCTTATGGAGGCCCAAGTAATTCTGGCGGGTCTCTCATTCAAATCAACACTCCCTTTGTTCTTCGAGAGCGCTGTTTTTGTTCGTCTTCAACAGGGAGATTACTCCCCCCCTATGCTCGATTCTCAGAATTCTCCGGATTTCGATGGATCTACTACCTTTCCAGCTTTTTCGTATCCTCGTCCTCTGGTTCCCTTCTGCTTCCCTTCTAACACTTCGCGTCCTCTATCTGTTGCCTCAGGCTTGGACTTATATTGTTCAGCCCAAATGGCCGTGCGGACGTTACAAAGTGGGGATGAGGATTCCATTGAAACCGATCCGATGGAGTTATATCATTTATTTGAGGAAGCCGCCCCGTATCTGGTGCGTATTCCACTTCTCATTGCTTTTATTTATTTTAATTGTTCTTATTAGCTTTATATTCATGAATTCTGGATGGGAAGGGCGAATTGCCCTTTGTTCGCAGAACAAATCCTTCTAGCTGCCGAGTTCTTATCTGCCCGTCTTCCTGCATTTCTTCGCGATAGCTTATTACAGCAGTGGGGAATTCCCCCTGAACATCGGTCTTCTTCTACGGTAAGTTTTTCCTGCTTCTGAAGCAATCCTTTTATTCATTTTAATTCGATTTGTAGGATGCTCCTGTCCTTGAACACTTCCCCACTATTCCAATTCCTTTCTGTCTTCGATTCCGCGAAGGGAGCGCCATGATGCGTCTGGCGCCTTCCAAAGAACTGGATGTCTTTGCCCCGTTACGCGGTAAAGGCTCTCCTGGAGCTTCAAAGGCAGTTTCGCCTCCCAAGGTTTCTGATGTCATCTCTCCTCCCCCTGTCACTAAAGCACAAGCTGTGCCCCCTAGGGCACTTCGAAGGAATCGGGAGATCGAAAGCCTCAAGGCTGACGCTTCCTCATTTCGTGAGTATTAATTTAATTTCTTGGTTTCATTTTATTCATTTCATCTTTGTTTTGATTTAGTTGCTTCTCCCCGTTCCACCCATTCAAAAGACTCTGATAATGAGCTTTTGAGTGGTTTCCCTTTGGTAGACGAAGCTCCTCGAGCTTCTTCGTCTGCCAAAGTCTCTGTAGGCCGAAAGGAGCCTAAATCCAAAACTACCGTCAAGGTAGTTGAAGATCCTAAGGCTGATCATCCCCCTCTTGCTGGTATGGCTTACAAAAGGGTTCGACTCCCTCCTCGTTCGAGGAAAAATACTTCGATCGCCTCAAAAGGAAAAGCGCGACAAATTGTTGTCACTGATGAGGACTCGACTTCCAATGAAGTTGAGTCTGAAGATGAGGATGAGGATGAGGATACTGCTCCTCCTCCAAAACGCCTCAAAACGACATCTTCCATCTCTGGTAAAATTTTTATTCTTCATTTTTTGTCTCATTTTATTAATTCAATTCGATTGTAGCTTCACTGCCTCGTCGTCCAGTTAAACGGGTGACCGTCCCCAAACGAGTATCCAAGGCTGCAGCGAAGCCCGTTCCCAAACGTTCCCCAGAGAGTACCTTCCAACCGGTACTCTTGGCGGATGCTCAAGGGCGATTACGGCTCCCTGAGCAGTCAACTGGGAGTTTTACTCCTTTCCCCAAATTTGCTCATGCCAGGGTAAGTCGTAGTCATTCAATTTAATTTATTCAGAATGCTAACTCTATTAACTTAATAGAATAGTGCTGCTTTAAATCGAGAAAATCCCTTGCTTGCAATCCACCCTGACTTCGTCGAACTGGGCTCCATTCTGGAGACCCAAAATGCTCGTTTTACGATGCAGGACCTGATGCAGGTTAATCGGGTGATTCGCGATGTAAGTTAATTCTAATATCTCATTTTAATTTAATTGCTAATCATGCTTCGATTCATGTAGCCTTCCATTCCCAGTCAGGCTTGCGTTTCGGCGCTCGCTCGAGGGGATCTGGAAGCAAATTCGGCTCCTCTTCCAGGATATAAGTGTCAAGCCTGCTCCTCACGGAGTTTAAAGTGCTTGGGATCCTTGGACGTAGAGCTGGCTATGGATGCGCTCAATGCGCTCCATAAAGCTTCAACTAGCAGTACGCATAGTACGTCCTTTTTATTTTATTTGATTTGATTTATTTAATTTGATTCATTCGATTTTATTTAGATCTAGCAAACTCATTACGACGAGCCACCGACCTCAACGATCAGTTGAAACAAATCGGGTCCTTGTTCGACACCGCACGGGAACTCTTCTTGCGATCCATCTTGGATCTGCAGAATGCAGGAGAGGATCCTATCGTCGTACTCGAGGCCCTCAAAACTGCCGAGCCCAATCGTCGGGCAATCACTTTGAACGAGTGGACCCTTATGGCCACTTTATTCCGTTGGCCCAGTCCATTCAACTTGAGTGGGCTGGATTTCGACAATCGTACCCCTGGTGAATGGATCGAACTGTTACGCAGCATCCAATCTGGGGAATCAACGGTGCACATCGACGAACACGGACACCTGGTCGAGGCTTCCCCACCTCCGGATTCTGCTACCGAGGCTTTGGAAGGCCTCAAGGAGGTCGAGAGGGGGTCTGCGGACGAGGGGACCAGCAGTCCAGTAGGGGGATCGGTTCCTATGGAGCTGGATCTCCCTACGATCGAGAGTTTGGCCGAGCGAGCTCTGTCTCCTGAAAAGGGGGCAGAGTCAGCGCAGATTCTCTAGTCGTAGCTGGCTCCTTGGGCGTCGTTTTTGTTTTTTATTTTAATTTTGTCATACACGGACGGGCTTCCATGCCCATATATCTCATTATAGCTGACCACTCGCGGTCGTATCGTCTGGGTTTCTTAACCCAAATCTCATCTATGGACCTTTTCAGGACCACCGGTCGCTC